CTGAGCTCCCTCCAACGGGCTCGGTTCGGGTCTGGGGACCCAGGGCGCCATCCAGGATGCGAGGTCCATATGAGCTGTGGGGTCAGGGACCTCTGAGAACAGAAACCTTCTGAGGTTGAACCTGGGATCGCGCGTTGTCACAGACCATGGCCCGCGTGTTCCTGGCAGAAACCTGCCGCACCCCTGCCGGTGTCCCTCCCTCTCTTGGTCGGCAGGGGGGCGAAAAGGCGCGCGCCCAGAGGCCGCTCGTGCCCCGTGAGGGTGCCCTGGGCTCCCGGGGCTCCGAACAGAGGCGTGTGATGAGAAGCCTGGGGGGTCCCAGGCGTGCAGCCCCCTCGAGATCCTCGAGTCCCAGGGCCTGGCCTGCTCCTTCAGAGGCTCCTCGTCTCCACGGGCCAGGACGACGACGACGCCGCCGCCGCCGCCGACGACGACGAGGACGACGACGACGACGACGACGACGACGACGACGACGACGACGACGACGACGACGACGACGACGACGACGACGACGACGACGACGACGACGACGGGGTCCCCCTGCAGGGCCCCCCTGCAGGCCACGGCCAGAGGCGCTCCGCGGGGCTCGGCTCTGCCGCGGCCCTCGCCCGCGCGGCCCTCCCCGGCCCGGGCGACACCCCGAGACCGGCCCCCTTCTGTGGCCCGCCTCTTGTGTTCCAGGGAGGACAATCGGGGGTGGACAGAACCCCCAGCCGTGGTACGTCGATTGGTGAATTGTCCGTTGTCGGTCTTCGAGAGGGCGCCGTGGCCGTTCTTTTCCAGGCTTGCGCCCGCCAGGTTTGGGCCTCAGGTCGTTTTCACTACACCACGTTTTGCGAAAGGGAGGCCTGTCCACCCCCGAGACGAGCCGCCCAGACCAGACAGGCTTGCCTCGCCTCGCTCCGCCCCGCTCTGAGACGCGGCCGCCTCGCGCTGCCTCGCCCAGGCCCTCACCGCGGCGACGGTGGTGGCGGCGGTGGTGGTGGTGGTGCGGAGGGTGGTGCGGATGGTGATGGTGATGGCGGATAGTTCTCCCCCTCCGCCTCGCTCTGCCGCGGCCGCGTGGCTCGAAGCCTGTGCCCCAAGGGGCCCACGGTGCCCCTCCGCTCCCCTCGCCCCCTCCTCTGCTGCCGTGGGGGCCCATGCCAAGAGGCACCCTGCCTGCCTCCAGGGCGCCCTGGGCTTCACGTGCTTTTGCCATGGAAGGCGCGGCCTCCCCACGCCAAAAAAAGCGATGGACGCCCTGGGGTCTCAGGCTTGGCTTTCTCCTGGAGGGTTTCTCGTGCTCGAGCCCCCGCTGCAGCTCTCCTCGCTCCGCCTCGCTCTGCCGCGGCCGCTCGGCTCGAGCAGCTTGTGTCCCAACCCCGAAGCCCCGCGGGGCCGGCCGAGCGCCGGCGCCTCCCCGGGGGCCGCGCCTTCGGGTGTGGGCGGCAGTCGCCACGACCACGGCACACAGCATGGGGTCTCTCTCGCGCCGCTTCCTCTCAAGGGAGGAAACACCACCCAGGCCCGACAAGTCTGGCGTTTACCAAACGGCCCTGGGCGTTTGCTAAACAGCCCTTCCCTTGCTCGATGCCGTCCCTGGGTGCGTTTCCGAAACGGCCTCGCTTGTCGGGGTGATTGCGAGGGGGTTGGCTTTACTGCCCTCCATCCTCGGCGCGGGTGGCGGCGTCGGTGCAGGTGTTGCAGGCCGAACGCCCTCGGGAACGGCGACCTCGGGACGGACACACCTGGTGTCGAAGAAGAAGAACAGGCATAAACAGGAACTTTCGACTGTCCGCACGGATTTCTGGGAGCTGTGCTGCCCCCCCCTGACGGCGGCGCCTCCGGCGCCGCCCCTGGGCGCGCTCCGCGCGCCAGGGAAGGGTTTCCAGCTCAGATCCAAGAAATCCGCGGGGACCGCCACAAGTTTATGTTTGTGCCGTGTTTTGTTTTTCCTCTAGTACCGTGAAGACCCATGCCAAGAAGCACCCTGCTTACCTCCAGGGTGCCCTGGGATTCTTGGTTTCGATGGTTCTGCCATGGAGGGCGTGACGTTCCCACACCAAAAATCAATGGACGCCCTGGGGTCTCAGGGTTGGGTTTCTTGTGAAAGGTTTCTTGTGGTCGAGCCCCCGCTCTGTGTAGTCGGAAACTGGAACATATACTTTACCAGCGGCGGGCTGTTTTTCAAGCCCAGGACTTTTTCGAGGGTCGGGGACGACGTCGGGGTGGGGTGGTGTGTATGTTTTTTCGTTTCCCAGGGAATCAACGGCACATGTATACGCCAGGGTCCCGCATGCACCAAGATCCGCGTTCATGCGCAAACTTCAGTGCAGGTCTTGGAAAACGCGTCAGTGGATAGAGAGTTCGGTTCTCCATGTAGGCGCTGCAGGCTGAGCGCCCTCAGGAGGGCCCGCGTCGGGGCAGCCACACACACAAGGGCGGCGCGAGGGGGGGGGCCTTCCAAGCAGACGGGTGGCGTCTCGGAAGCCGCCTCGGCTTCCCAGCAGCCCTCCCGGGAGCCTCCAGGCCCTTCTAGGGAGGAGGAGGAGGAGGAGGAGGAGGAGGAGGAGGAGGAGGAGGAGGAGGAGGAGGAGGAGGAGGAGGAGGAGGAGGAGGAGAAGAGGAGGAGGAGGAGGAGGAGGAGGAGGGAGGGAGGAGGAGGAGGAGGAGGAGGAGGAGGAGGAGGAGAGGAGGACGAGGAGGAGGAGGAGAAGGAGGGGGAGCTTTTGGAAAGCTCCCTGCCCTCTCTCGAAAGGCCGCCCCCCTCGCGCCCACCCCGTGTCCGCGCCGCCGACATGGGGCGAAGGCCGGCCGCAGTTCACCACCCACCAACCTACCCCAACCCAACCCCAAGGCCCCGAGTTGCCCTCCATCTCCTCCTCCTCCTCCTCCTCCTCCTCCTCCTCCTCCTCCCTAGAAGGCCCCGAGGTGGCCTCCATTTCCAGTGTGTGGGGGGGGGTCGGGGAACATGGACAAAACACACATGGAACCCGTCCCCCCCCCCCCCCCTCCCGAAGTTCGGGTCTTCGGGTTGGTTGGGGTGGTCTGGTAGGTAGTCCGTAGTGCCTGCCCTTTTGTCGCTGAGTTCCCTGATGGGCCCATGTTCCACCACGCTACCGTAGGTAGGACGGGGAGAAGGGAGGATATAGGTCCTCGTCCTCCTCCTCCTCATCCTCCTCCTCCTCCTCCTCCTCCCCTCGCTCCTCCTCCTCCTCCCCCCTCCCCTCCACCCCTCACCTCTTCCTCCTCCTCCCCTCCTCCTCCTCCTCCTCCTCCTCCTCACTCCTCCCCTCCCCCTCCTCTTCCTCCTCCTTCTCCTCCTCCTCCTCCTCCTCCTCCTCCTCCTCCTCCTCCTCCTCCCCCTCCTTCTCACACCTGTGGCAGTGGTGGTGGAACATCGACCCATCGTTCCCCGTCGGTGTCGAAGCGGCCGCTGCCCACTCGGAGAGGCGTCGCCTGCCCGGCAGCTGCCGCGGCCACTCTGCCGCCGCTCCCGGGGAGCCCCCGGCGCGGCAGGAGGCCTCCTGGATCGGGGGCGGAACAGAGGGGGGCGATGACTAGGGGGGCTGGATCTCCTGGCGCGGGCCATGATATCTCCGCAGATTTTACGGCGCCTCTTCTTGTTTCATGACGTCCCAGGCCCCCCCGCTGGGCCGCGCACATGCCGCCAGTCATGATTTGCACCCCCCCCCCCCCTTGGACTGTCCCCCCCCTCTTGGCCGCTCCCGACTGGAGCGCGGCGCCCCTGTCGAGCAGCCCACGGCGCGAGGTCCACGCGAGAGGCGGGGGCCGACAGCCCCTCGGGGGGCTGCCGGGGAGGGGCGCCCGCCGAAGGAGGTCGGACGCTCCGCGCGGCGTCGGGAGGCGCGGGCGCCGCGGGCACGTGCCAGGCTGGGAGGGGCCGCCGGCGGGCGCCCCGCGGGCGCCCTGCCGATCGATCTCCAGAGGGGTATATTATATATATATATGTATACATATTTATATATATATGTACGTATATATAATGTATTTATACATATATATATTTATACACGTATATATATATGTATAATGTATATACACATGTATTTATACACATATTTATATGTATATATATATATATATATATATATCGATACCGCTGCGTGTCTCGAAGAAGGAAAAACGGCATAAGCATAAACTTTTGGCGCTCCGCGCGGATCTCTTGGATCTGCGCTGGAGCGCCCTGGCGGCGCCTCCGACGCCTCCCCTGGCGCGCCCCGCGCGACAGGGCGGGGGGTCCTGCGCAGTTCCAAGAAGTCAGCGCAGAAGCCAAACGTGTTTGTTTGAGCACTTGTTTCTTTTTCTAGTATCTCTCGTCGCCGCGGGCGGATTCTGCTCGAAGCCTTGGTCAGAGCGCGCTCTGGGAGCGGTCGGTCCCAGGAGCAGCGGCATCGGTATATCCGTTTGTGCCCCCACAATGCAGCAGGGCGCCTTGAGTTCCCTGGCACCCCTGCGCAGTGTTTTGACATCGCCGAGAGAGGTACCCAGCAGTCCTGATAGCACGAGATTTCATCACACGAATTTGGACCTGCTGTAGCCCAATCTTGCCTCTTCTCCCTCCCTCCCTCTCACCCGGGAAAGAGACGTGGTGATTGTGCAGGCTTTGCGCATCATTCACTGGCTGGTGATCCCTCCCTCTCCCCTCCTGTCGTGGGGGCGAGAGAGGGGGGCGGAGGTGGGGATGGGGCCGGACGTGGCGATGGTCACCCACACCCCCTGTGAGGTTTGCCGCTCGTAGGCGCAGCGGCCGTTTTGGGGCAGGCCATGGCGTGGGGGGCGGCGCCCGCCGCAGACACCCGGGCTCCCGAAGAGCCCGAGCAGCAAGAGGCCGCCCCGCCGCTGCCCGACGGGCCGCAGGGCGCCCCGCCCGCGCCCGCCCCGAGCGCGGAGAACTTCCCGACGCTCGGGGGCGGCGGGCCCCGGGCGGCGCCCAAGCCCCGGGCGGCGGCGGCGCCCTGGGGCGCCCGCGAGCCCGCGCCGCGCGGCGCGCGGAGGGCGACGCCCCCGCAGCCGGGGCGCGGGCGCGGCCGCCGCGGGCGGCCCGGAGGCCCCGCAGCCCGCCGCGGCCCCGCAGCCGCCCGGCGCGGCCACCTCCGCGCCGGAGCCTGCGTGCGCAGGGGCACGCCCCGCCGAGGCCGAGGCGGCCGCCGCCTCCCCGCCGGAGGCAGCGGCTCCCCCTGCGAGCAAGGAGGCCGAGCAGCACGAGGCCGCCCCGGCGCTGCCCGGCGGGCCGCAGGGCGCCCCGCCCGCGCCCGCGCCGAGCGCGGAGAACTTCCCGACGCTCGGGGGGAGCAGGCCCGGCTCGGCGGCGAAGGCCAAGGCGGCGGCGGCGCCCTGGGGCGCCAGGAGAGGCCCGCTGCCCCAGAAGAGCGCGGATGATGCAGCCCCCGCGGCTGGCGGCGCTGTTGCAGCCTCGGATGGCCCAGAGCCGCCGCAGACCGCCGTGGCCCCGCCACGGCCCGTCGCGGCCCCGTCTGTCCTGGAGCCAGCGCCCGTGGAGGCAGGCGGTGCCGAAGCCGAGGTAGCCGCAGACGCCACGTCGACAGCAAAGGCAGCAGCTCCCAAATGCGCGGATGGTTTCCCAACGCTCGGGGCCACCAGGCCTGGTGCGGCGGCAAAGCCCAAGGCGGTGGCGGCGCCGTGGGGCGCCCGGAGGGACCTTGTCTATGAGAAGCGCGAGAAGGACACTCCCGCAGCCACCAACGTTGCTGTGGCCTCTGCCGGCCCAGAACCGCCGCAACCCCCCGTGGCCCAGCCGCAGCCCGTTACGGTCCCAGCTGTGCCAGAGCCAGAGTCTACAGAGACAGGCTGCGCCGAGGACGGGGCTTCGGCTGACACAGTCTCCTCGCACAGGCCAGCAGCTCCGAACGTCACCGAGAAAAGCGAGTTCCCCGAACTTGGTGGCTTCCCTTCGCTGGGCAGCACGACTTCGAAGCAAGCTGCCCCGAGCCAGGCCGCACGCAAAACCTGGGGCGCAGCAGCCAAGGCCTCGGTGAAGGCAGCAGCCTCTCCCGCCACGACGTCCTCCAAGGCACCGCCGCCAATGCCGGCAGCCACGGAGGCAGCTCCCGAGGTGAGCGACGCTTAAAAACGGGGCCGACTTCGCCGACATTGGCGCGTGAGCTGCCCGCGTAAGCTCGCGCGCAAGCGCCCCCGTCTCCAATCTGGCCTGCCGCGCGTGCGGCCCGCGCAGTAGCTGCGGCGCGAGGTCGCCGTGCCCTCTCCGGTGTAGGCCCCGTTTTCGATTTCCGCGCACAGGTGGCCGAGCCTCCGGCGACCGCCCAGCCCCCGGCGGCGGCGCCCGAGCTGCCCGACAGGGGCACGGCGGCGACCGAGCGGAGGGCCCCCGCCGGGGCAGAGGCCGCGGCCGAGCGGGAGGCAGCCGCCGCCGAGGCGGCGGCGGCGGCGGCCGTGCCGGTGGCGCTGCCCGGCCGCGGGGCCGCCGAGGGCGAGGAGGCGGCTCCCGAGGCGGCCGCCGAGGCTGCTGCGCCTGCTGTGCAGAGGGCTGCTGCCGACGCCGCCACCCCGGGCTTGCTCGGTGGCAAGTCTTGGTGGCCCCCAAATCAAAGGCCAGCAACATATGTACACGTACGCGGTTAGCTTCCCCTGGAGGGCGTTTGGACGAGGACGTTCGTGCATTCAAGATCGCGGAGGGCGTACGTGTACATATGTCGTTGCTCGCTCACCCAAACGTGGTGGTGAGAACACCCGGTGGTGAGTTTGGAGCGATCTGGGTCATGTTTTTCGAGCGCCGGCCCAGGAAGCGCAAAACCTCGGGGCCACCGCGTGTCCCCAAACCCGGTGGTGACCCAGAATTTTTTTTTTGGGGGGGAATCGGGGTCACCACCGGGTGTCTCACCACCCGGTTTGGAGACCACCAAAAGTCAGCCGCAGGTGGAGAGACGGCACAGACGACCTCCGAAATGGGGTCGTCTGCGCCAGGGTCGCCTGCTTCTGAACCCTCGCTGCCCCAGGCTGAGCCTGGCAAGCCCTCGGAAGAACTGCTCAAGCAGACAGCCGAGGAGGCGCAAGTCATGGGAGCCTGGCGTACCCTGTGCCGTCGCTAGCGTCGAGTAGCGTCGCTTAGAGTCTGGGAGTCGATGAGATAGCGCGGATTTACCGTCGGTTAGCGTCGGTCAGCGTCGATTAAGCGTGGATCAGCGTCGGCTAGCATCGGTTAGCGTCGATTCGCAAGAGCCGACAAGATGGCATGGGAGGCTCCCATGAGTTGCCACCGAAGGCTTGTAGGTGCAGAGCGGCTGGTCTCGTGTTGAGCTGAGCGTGCTTTTGCATCACTCTTTCGGCGAGGGTGATCTCAGGAGCGCCGCGATCACGCACACGGCACTGCGGCACTGCGGGCGTTTTTGCGAAACGTATTGAAGAGGATGGGCCTGCGGCCAACCGAAACATACTCCCTCCGCAGAGTCGCAGTTTTAGTTTAGTGAGGGCAGAAGTTGCGTAAAGGAAGCTAGCTCGAGTTTGCGAATGGTCCAGACACGCGCCACCCGTGCTAGGCGCGGCGGCGGGTCTTCACTCAGGAGAATGTCCAGGAGCTCTTCCCAGATCTGGGCGAGACGAAGCGGCCTTCGAGACAGGCGGCAGCACCCTCGAGGAAGGCTGCCGCTGCGACGCAGCCGGCGGCCAAGGCGGCCCCGTCAGCGAAGGGGGGGGGCAAAGATGTGGAGCTCCCCAGGGGCGCTCCCCTCTGTCCAGGCCCCCCCTCCCTCTGCCCCTCCTCCCCGCCAGACCTTTGTCGTCGCGACCCTACGGGCCGCGGGAGAATCTCGTGAAAAACAAACATAAGCAACGATGACTTGAACGAAGGATTGCAAATCCTTCGTTCAAGTCATCGTAACCCTTATTCATCGTTCAAGTCGATCGATGAATAAGGTTTTTTTTTGCAATCCTTCGTACGAGGCCCCTGGACCTCTCTCGACCCCCTGCGGGGGCATATGGTCTCTCGTCCCGAGAGCCTGCTCGTCCCTTCTCCCGGCGCCCCGGAGCGGCCCCAGGGGCTGGGCCGAAGCACGCGGAGAACAGCACCAGCTACTGTTTTTAAAATAATTTGTTCAAGAGGCCTGGGCCCCCCTATAATGAAACAGTCTGAATGCCGTGTAGACCCATGCCAAGGCACACCCTGCTTGCCTCCAGGGTGCCCTGGGTCTCTTGCCATTCGACGGCTTTGCGGTGGGGAGCGTGACGTCCCCGCACCAAAAAATCAGAGGACGCCCTGGGGTCTCAGGGGTAGGGTTTCTCGTGGAAGGTTTCTTGTGGACTGGCCTCCATTGTATAATAATCAAACAATCTGGATACTACCCTCCCTCATCCCCTGAAGTTGTCCGGAACATCTCCCGCCCTTTCCGCGTGCTCCTCTTTTACTTGCGCGCAGGATTTCCAACGCCTGTGTTTCCGCTGTTTTGCACTCCCGTTGTTCTCGGTGCCTCACACAGTGGTGCTCCCGTGGCAGCGTGGGCCTCATCTTCGGATCGGCGCGTTGCTCCCGTGGTTCAGAATGGCGCTCTCGCCCCAGCGCGGGCGACTTCTGGATCCGAGTCTTGCTTCACCGCCTCCCCCTGGTCCTCCTGAGTGCCTCCTGCTCCTTCCACTCCAGCTCCTGCTGCTGCTGCTGTTCATCTCGCCCCAGCGCGGGCCACTATTCTGGATCCGAGTCTTCATTCATCGTTGCCGCCCCCACATTTCCCCTCGTTTGCCTTCCCCTGGTCCTTCTTTCCATCCCGATCCGTCTGCTGGAGTTCCTGCTGCTGCTGTTCGTCCTCATCCTGCTCCTCCCGCTCGTCCTGTTGCTCACCCGCCACTTCCTCCTCCTGTGCACGCAGCCTCCCTTCTTCCGATTGCGCATACCACGAAGTGGGCCTTTCTGCACCATCTGCAGGTCGGCCACGACGCGCGCCCGCGGATAGCGACACATCAGCGCCACGGGAGGGGACGGGAGGGACGGAGAAGGATGTCCGAGGAGGCGCGGGCGCGCCGAGCTTGCCCCCCCCCCCTCTCCCCTTCCCCCTCCTTGTGAGAGGCGGTGGGCGGAGGGGGGGGAGGGGACGCGCGCGGGCGCGCCGAGCTTGCCCCCCCCCCCCCCCCCCCCCCAGTCTCCCCTTCCCCCTCCCTGTGGGCGGCGGAAGTTCGGGGGGGGGGGAGGGGCATGCGGAGCGCGACCGCCGCTCCGAAGGTGCCCGCGGCCCGCGGGGCGTGGGCGAAGCCGCTGGGCCTGGCCAGGGACCCCGCGCAGGCGAGGCCCGCGGCGGAGGAGCAGCCCGAGGCAGCCCCGCCGCAGCCCCCCGCCGGCGCCGGCGCTCCCGAGGCGGCAGCGGCCGCGCCGCCGCGGCAGCGGCAGCAGCAGCCCGAGGCTCGGCATCGCTCGGACGTGTGCCTTTTTCCTTCGGCGAGGACCATCGAGGAGCAGCCTTGAGCATTTGGCGAAAAAAGCCACGCACGAAGCCCCCCCAAAAAACACAGGGAATGGACGTCCGAGCGATGGCCAGGAGGCGGCTCCCGCGGGCGGCTCGGTGGAGGCCGAGCAGGAGGCGCCGCAGCGGCTCCGGAACGACTGCGCGCAGGAGCGGCCCCCTTCGCCGGGGTGGCCCGTGTCGATGCTTTGTCCTCGGGGCGTGTGTTGGCCCACTGTGTGTGTGTGTGTTGCCCCCCTTCAGCCCAAGCAGTAGATCCTTGCATCGCTGGCGTCGTATCGATGGGCCTCGATGGACAAACACACGTTGGGGGCTAACACGCGTTCTGAGGATCATCGACTCTGGTGCGGGCCCACTCGGGTCCCCCGATCGCCGATCGCCGAGTGCGAGAGCAGCGGCCTGCGCGCGCTTGGGTTTGGCCCCTCCCCCCTCCCCGCGGCCCCCCAAGCGCCGCGCACCAGAGGTCACTCTTGCCCAGGGCCACTCTTGCGTGCGTAGTCGATGGAGGCGCAGCCGGAGGCCGTGGCGGAGGCCCCGGCGGAAAAGGAGGAGGAGGCGGCGGAGGAGGAGGGGGGCGGGGCCACGGCGAGCGAGGCGGAGGAGCGCCCGGGCGCGGAGCAGCCGGCCGCGGGGCCCGAGGCGCATCGGGGCGGCTGCGCGGAGAGCGCCTCGCCGGTCGACCTGTCTGGGCCGCCGCTGGCGGCCACAGCGCGGGCGCTCCCGAAGAGAGTGCCGGCGGCGATGGGCAAGTGGGCGAAGCCTCTGGCGGCGGCTGGCGAGGGAGACTCGGCCGAGGCGCAGTGTGCAGCACCCGACGTGGCGTCGCCCAAGGCAGCGGCCGCCCCTCCGGCCGGCGCGTCGCAGGGCGGGGTGGCGGCCGCGCCGGCAGTCGCAGGGGCAGCGGAGCCTGACTCGGCCGAGCCCGTGGCCGAGGCCGTGGATGTTGCCCGAGTGCTGCCAAGGAGAGCTCCGAAGTCGAGCGCAGTGGACGGCAAGGGCAGAGGTAAGGCTGTCGGCAGCACCGCCGGGCAGGCCTCCATCCCCGTGCCCAGACCGCAGGCTGCCGCGCCAGAGGCAGTCCCCCCCGAAGCGGCGGTGGCTGCTTGCACCACTGCCGCGTCCGCGCCCGATTTCGTGACGGAGGCAGGGCCACCGTTGGGTGCCACCGTCGGCGCTGTGCAAAAGGGCAACGCGGCAACGAGGCCAGATGAGCCGAGGAAGCTCCAAGGTGCGTGGGCTAAGCAAGGCGCTTGGGGCAAGAAGCCGTTGCCAAGCGAGCCTGGCACGCTCAAGGTCTCCGCTGCGGAGCAGTCTGCGGTCGCTTCCGAGCCCTCTCCCGTTCCCGCGCCCGCAGACACGGCGCCTGTGGACCAGGCAGCCACCCCAGGACCAGCCGCAGCAGCCCAGGATGAAAATGAAGAGGGCACTGGCGACATAGATGAGGCGACAAGCACGGCCGCTGAAGAGGAGCGACGCAAGCAGGACGCCGAGACTGCGGTACCGGCGGCACCTGCGGCCCTGCCTGCTGCGCAGCCCGATCAGGCGCGATCCGCTTCGGTGCCACAGCCAACGGCAACGTCAGCTGGTGCGGCAAAGGAGGTGGAGAAGGCTGTGTCGCCCGCGGCGCCCAAGGCACCTGCGCCCCGGCCCACAGCGGCGCCCCAACAGACGCAGGCTGTTTCGGCGCCGCAGCTCGCTTCCACACGTGCTGCAGCGCCGCCGCCACAGACATCACAGGCGAAGTCAGCCGTGTCAGCAGAGGAGGCGGAGCAGATCCTCAGCAACGCCTTCGCAGATGCACCTGCCCTCAGCGCAACAAAGCCGGCGGCCAAGAGGGCGATGGGCGTCTGGGGCAAGAAATTGGAGCGCTGCCCTGGCGAGAATGCTGATACCGCTGACTCCTCCGAGCAGCAGCGGGGCAGCCGGGTAGTGCGGGTGGAGGCCACACCAGAGCCTCACGACGATGGAAACGAGGCGTCCCTGGCTCGGGTGCTTCCCGCTCCATCGCCGGCAGACAGCGACGCTGCCACGGAACCGCAGCCGAGCTCTGCGCCATGCTCGGATCACCACCCTTCGGCCCAGGGCGGCATCGAGGACAGGGAGACGGCGGACTCCTCGGGGACGGGCCTCGAGCGAGATGCGGAGCACACCGACGAGGAGGACAGGTCGGACGAGGCGGACAGCTGCTTCGGGTCCGTGGCCACGCCAGAGCCAGCCCCAGAGCGAGGGGTCCGCGAGGGCGGTGCCGCCGAGGCCGCCGGAGCGACTGCGGAGCCCAGGCCGGCGCTCGGCGCCGTGAGCCTGAGGCCGCAGGTGTGCCCGAAGGGCAGCAAGCCGTCCCTGCTGGGCGGCACCGGAGCGGGGGCGCCGAGGCTCGGGCGGCCTTCGATGGGAGTGGCGGAGATGCTGAGATGGCGCGAGGCCGCCCTGGAGATGCCGCCGCCGGACTTTTTGCACTGCGTGGCCCTGGTGCACGAGACGACCTTCGAGCCGCCGGTCAGGGCGCCCAGCGACAGAGTGTCGAGGCAGGGTTCCAACCGTGGCCTTCCGCAGAGGACTCCCAAGGGCGGTGCGCGGCGCCAGTTCGCGCGCGAGGACGAGCCGGTAGAGCCGCTCCCGCAGTCGTCCAGCTCGTGGGCAGCGCAGCAGAGGAGTTGGCACAAAGACGGGCAGGACGAGGATAATTCTGATACGGTCATCACGAGACGGGTCAGGTCTTTGTTGAACAAGCTGACAGTCGAGAAGTTCAGCCTGCTGCTGGAGCAACTCCTCTCGTGCGGCATCTGTACACAGGCTCACCTTGAGATACTGATGCATGAGATCATGGAGAAGGCCACGACACAGCACCATTTCATCAACATGTACACCGAGCTTTGCGTCCATCTGCACAGGTGGTCCGAGGAAAACGGCATTGGCGACGCGTCTGGCGACAAGAACGCGGGATTCAAAAAAATCCTCCTCAACGAGTGTCAGAATTCCTTCGAGAAGTATCTCAAGCGGCCTGCCCACCTCGCGGACCTCACTGGTGAAGAGCGCGATTTGGCTGAGGTACGATACAAGACGGCGATGATCGGCAACATTAGATTCGTCGGTGCATTACTGTCCAGACAAATGGTGGCCAGCACCGTGATCTTCGCAATCGCCGACGAGCTGCTTGCGACGCCCCCCGTTCCAGACGCCTTGGAAAGCCTAGCGGCGTTCCTCACCACGGTCGGTAGCTTGTTCGACACGCCCAACTGGAAACACCGCGATAAGCTCAACGAGTGCTTCAAGAAGATCGGCAAGCTGTCCAAGGACCCGGTGGTTCCAGTGAGGATACGCTGCCTCCTCTCCGACGTGCTTGACCTTCGGGAGGCGAACTGGAAGGACAACAAGATGGCGACAAAGACCATCCAGGGCCCCATGACGATCGACGAGGTGAAGCGGGCAGCGATCGAAGAGGTTGGCGGGTCGCAGGGCAGCGGCTCCCGCGCGCCCCGGGCGAGCGGCAACGGGACGTGGTCACCGGCTGCACCGCCAAGGGCAGCCCTTCTCCGGAGAGACCCTCGGTGCACGGCCTCTTGGGGCGGTTGCGGGGGGGCGGGAGGGCCAGGGCCTCCACCTTCCGTACTGGCCGCGTGGCTGGCGTGGATGGTGAGGTGTTGCCCCTTTCTGTCCCTTCATTGCTCTGCTTGTCCTTGTGCCCCTTTTTGCCTGTGTCTGTCCTCGTGCTTCCTGTCTGTCTTTGTGTTTGCCCTCTGGGGGGGGGGGGACGACTCGGGGCACGCAGGCCGCGGCTGCCGCGTCGCACGCTACGCTGGGCAAGCCGCCCACCCAAGGCCGCCCTTCTTCGTGCCCGGGGGCCCGGGGCCACGAGGGTGCGTACATTCCAGAGCGCTCCGTGGAACGCACTCGGAGCGTTCTGGGACGCTTTGGGACGGCCGCGGCGCCCGAGGCATCCTCCAGAGACCGCCGGATCTCACAGATCCTCCTCCTCCCTCTCCTCCTCCCCCTTCTCCACCTCCTCCTCCGCCTCCTCCCCCCTCCTCCCCTCCTCCTCCTCCTCCTCCCCCTCCTCCCTCCTCCTCCTCCTCCTCCTCCTCCCTCCTCCTCTCCTCCTCCTCCTCCTCCTCCTCCTCCTCCTCCTCCTCCTCCTCCTCCCTCCTCCTCCTCCTCCCCTCCACCCCTCCTCCTCCTCTTCCTCCTCCTCCTCCCCCTCCTCCTCCTCCTCGATTCGATCCTTCCTCACCCGAATCATAATGCCCTCGCCCTGGCTCCCTCTTACCGCCCTGCGCGTGGCCGAGGTCCGCGCCAGCGACGCCCGCGGGCGGCCAGGGCGGCGGCGGCAGGCCCCGGCCGGCGCTGCAGGGCGCCGGCGGCGGCGAGTGGTCGACGGTGGGCGGCGGCCCCCGCTGGAGCCCTGGGCCTCCCAGATGGCGGGAGCGGCAGGGAGGGGGGTGAGGACTGGGGGGGGGTGGAGGGTTTCTCCGAAGGGCTCAGGCGACCCCTCCTCCTGCTGCTCCTCCTCCTCCTCCTCCCTCCTCCTCCTCCCTCCTCCTCCCTCCCTCCTCCCTCCTCCCTCCTCCTCCTCCTCCTCCTCCTCCTCCTCCTCCTCCCTCCTCCTCCTCCTCCTCCTCCTCCTCTTCCTTCTCCTCCTCCTCGGGTCGCTACGGCCCCGGGGGAAACCGTGCAGGGGGGGGGCGGATATCATGGCGGGGGCCATGAGATCTCCCCAGATTTCCTGGGGCCCCTTCTCGTTTCATGTCGTCCCTGGCCCCCCCCCCCCCGCTGGGCCGCGCACCTGCCGCCGCGGTCATGATTTGCACCTCCCCCCTCTTGGACACACCCCTTTTGGCCGCTCCCGAAGATGGGGTCCGAGCGGGCGGGGTCGGAGGGCCGCGCCGCATCGCCGATGCAGCGGCGCTGCGGCTCGAGGTGGAGCCCGCGAGTTGCCCCACGCCGACGCATCGCCGAGGCCTCGCCGAGGCCTCGCCGAGGCCTCGGCGATGCAGCGGCGATGCAGTCCCAGAGATCCGATGCCGTGATTTTTTCGATATGCCCCCCCCCCCCCCCCCTCCCCTGGAAGTCTCGACCCATTCCCCAGGACCAGTTTTTCATCCTGCATCGTTTTTTGACTGTCCCGGGGCCTGGCGAGGGCCCCCAGAGGTCGAAATTTGCGAACATCTTTTGTTGTTTTTTTTTTCAATGCGCTGGATCTCCAGGCACTCGGACCCCATCTAGGAGGCCTCTCAGGAGCCCGTCCGGGAGGGAGCGCGGGAAGCTCTCGCAGAAGACGTCGTCGCCCCCGCCGCGGCCAGCGGAGGCCGCCGTGAAGGAGAGGGGCCCTTCTAAGACGAACTCGGGGCGAGGATAAATTCGGGGAGGATCAATTCGGAGGAGGAATAGGAGGAGGAGGAGGAGGAGGAGGAGGAGGAGGAGGAGGAGGAGGAGGAGGAGAGGAGGAGGAGGAGGAGGAGGAGGAGGAGGAGGAGGAGGAGGAGGAGGAGAGGAGGAGGAGGAGGAGGAGGAGGAGGAGGAGGAGGAGGAGAGGAGGAGGAGGAGGAGGAGGGAGGAGGAGGAGGGAGGAGGGAGGAGGGAGGAGGAGGGAGGAGGGAGGAGGGAGGAGGAGGAGGGAGGAGGAGGAGGAGGAGGGAGGAGGGAGGAGGGAGGAGGGAGGAGAGGAGGGAGGAGGAGGAGGGAGGAGGCGGGAGGAGGAGGAGGGAGGAGGAGGAGGAGGAGGGAGGAGGAGGAGGAGGGAGGAGGATGAGGAGGAAGAGGAGGAGGAGGAGGAGGAGGAGGAGGAGGAGGAGGAGGAGGAGGAGGAGGAGGAGGAGGAGGAGGACATTTTGGCTCAAGGCCATTGGGGGCCCGATCCCCGGCCGCCCCTTGCGGGGGTGGGCGACCGCGCGGGCCGGCCTCAGGCGCGCGCGTCTCTGCGCCGCGATGTGTTTGGCTTCGCTCCCAGCTTAGCTCTTACATCAAGAATATGGCTTCACGCGAGTATTTAGGCACCCGACAAGAGTCGAGACTGCTTTCAGAAGACCGTTCGCTTCGGAAGGCAGTTCGCCGTATTGCATACGCGGCAAGAAAAGGAGGACGCATTGACCTACCAGACTGGAAAGCAGTATCCATTGTTTGCCGAATGCCATTTGAAACAAGAGGTCAGCGAGCCGATCAGCAAGTAACTCTCAATCCCGAGGCAGCCGTATTCATCCCAAACACTTGTATTCCAGACCTTTGGCAGTGGCAGCTTCCCGACATCATCACATACACCAGGTTGTGTGAAAGCAGCGGGCAGTGGCAGCCAGGGCCTCAAGAAGATGGGGCCAGAGAAACCTCTGACACATATTGGTTCGAACCAAACATATTGGCTCAAGAGCGTTGCGTAGCTAGGCCTGCCCCTCACCTCCCACAGTTCCGCGAGGAACACGTTCGAGGAGGACGAGCGCTGGCTGCCAGACAGTTCTGGGGACAGCGCTGGTTGCCAGACTGTTCTGGGGACGGCAGTGGCAGTATCGGTCAAGAAGCGGTAGGCAGTGGCAGCATGCGAGAAGGGGCGGCAGCGGTAGCAGGAGGCACAGGCGTCCGCGACGGGGCTCGCCTAGCTGAGGTGGCCAAGGCGGCCGTGGCAGCCGCCGCCAGCCGTGAGAAGAAGGACGGGCGGGCAGTGGTGCGAGCGGGCAGTGGTGCGACGAGGCAGCGGAGCGAGGAGCCAGGAGCGGCGGCAGTGGCGCTAGCGGGCAGTGGTGCGAGACGCGGAGGCTGGCAGTGGCAGCCAGCCCTCGACGACCCCCAACGCCCCTCGACGTCCTCCGACCCCCCACGACGCCCCTCGACGCCCCTCGACGACCCTTCGACGCCCCTCGACGACTCGCGACGGCCCTCGACGACCCTCGACGACCCAGTGCCTTTGGACAACCCCCAGCGACCCTCGACGCCCTTCGACGACCCTCGACCACCCTCGACGACCCTCGACGCCCCCTTGCGGTGCGAGCGACGGGCAGGTGCGCGAGCGGCGGGCAGTGGTGCGAGCGGCGGGCAGTGGTGCGAGCGGCGGGCAGTGGAGCTAAGCGGCGAGAGGCAGTGGTGCGAGCGGCGGGCAGTGGCGCTAGGCAGCGGCAGCGGGCAGCGGCAGCTGCCAGCAACGAAGCCCCCCGACGACACCCCTCGACGCCCCCCGACGACCTCGTGCCCATCGACGCCCCCTGACGACCCTCGACGCCCCTCGACGCCCCTCGACGACGACCCTCGACACCACTCGACCCCCCTCGACGACCCCGTGCCCATCGACGACCCTCAACGACCCTCGACGGCCCCGAACGACCGACGTCTCTCGACGACCCTCGACGAAGCAACCCCAGAGGGCGAGCTCACGACCAGGGCACGCGAGCAGACCAAGACGAAGCCCCGACGCCCCCCGACGACGCCCCCCTACGACCCCGCCCGACGCCCCCCGACGACCGTCGACGCACCCCCGTCGGCGCCCCCCTACGACGCCCGTCGACGACGCCCTCCGACGCCGCCCCCACGACTACGACCCAAGATGACGCTTCAGCGGCAGCAGGAGGGACAGAGGCAGCGTGCGCAAGAGGCGACAGTGGCAGCAGTGGAGGCAGCGTGCGAGAAGCGGCGGCAGCGGCAGCCGCGGGCAGCGGCGACCCGCGCCTGGCCGTCGTCGCGGCAGCCCCTAGGGCCACGGGCGACAGCGGCGAGAGCGACCCTGACAGCGGCGCATGGCCGCCAGAGGCGCTCGGAGGAGGCGAAGCAACAAGCCAGATCCAAGCGAGCGGGAAGCGTGCAGAACCTCAGCGCGCGCGAAGCGGAAAACACAAACTACTACGAGACCCTCGACGGCACTCGACGACCCTCGACTCCGTCCAAGAGGACTCCGACAGCGACGCCGACGAAGACGCCACGCCCCAGGACACCATGTCCGACGGCGTGACCCCGCCCCCAGAGACGCCAGCGAACGACGCCCCCCCGACCCTCGACCCCCCCCGGCGCCCTCCGACGGCCCTCGAACGTACCTCGACTCCCCTGGGCGACTCCACGCCCGACTCAAACGGCCCAGCCGACGACGACTCCGTCCAGGAGGACTCCGACAGCGACGCCGACGACGACGCCACGCCCCAGGACACCATGTCCGACGGCGCGCCCCCGCCCCCAGGCCCCGTCGAGGAGAAGGAGGGCCGCGAGCAGTGGCAGCGGGCAGCGGGCAGTGGACCTAGCAGTGGCAGCCGGCAGTGGCAGCCGGCAGCGGAGCGAGTCCTGGAGGCTCTTCCGACCGTGAGATCGACACGGGCATCCTCGTCGTTCGCTCGAAGCTCCTCGAAGCTCCTGGTCACGGCCACTGCAGTTGCCGATGGGCTCTGCTTGTGGCTTGAGGACTGCAACATCGCCGAGGATGGCTGGCCGGTTCCAGGAGAACCGACAAGCAAGACATACACGATCAGGTTTACAGGTGCTGCTGTATTGGCCGCGAGACGGGTTCGCACACATTGGGAATTCTTCGCACCATGCGCTCAGATGGATCTCAAGGCTCTCTTCGGCGGAGGCTCACAACGATGGCGACGACCAACGAGGAAACAAAACTGTTCGCGGGTCCCGACAGGACCGCTGCTATAATCAAGAAGGGGGCGACGTGCAAGAACATCGGACGGGCTTTCGGAGCCCGCGCTCCTGGCCGCATGTTCTACATCGACGAGTACAAGGGGGAGATGAGTACGAACTGGCGCCTTCTCATCAAGGTTACTCCGCTCGCCAACTCTGGGGGGCCGCACTTGGAATTTGCTGCGCAGAATTTCGCCACAGAGGGTATCAACCAGCAGGAAGTGTTCCAGCTGGTGCTGCGCACCGCGCAGGGTTCTGAGCCATCGCGGTGGATTGCTGGCAGCTTCTGTCCCCTGTGGCATGGATCATCCTCTCCCCATTCCCCCTGTCGTCTCCTCCTTTCGCATTGTCACCTGGAATGCGAAAGCCCTTTCTCATCACTCTGCCGCTCTCCGCGCACGAGAGGTCAGATTTCTTTGGCGCCTGCTTGGGCAAGCCAGCGTTGTCCCTTTGCAAGAAGTGCATGGATTGGAGCCTGAGTTGAATGACCTCTTCTACCATCAGCATCTTCCTTATCGCGCTTATGTTTCTTATCATCCCAATCATTTCGCCGGCGGCGCGGTCATTCTTTATCTTATCCTCAAGCTCTCAAAAAACACGCACGCGATTCGGCATCGAGCGACGTCTTGTCTCTTCCATTCCCCCGCTCCCTGGTCGAGCGCATCTCGCGAATTTCAGCGCGCCGGGTGATGTTTGCGCGATCTCGCATTTCAGCATCCACAATTTTGGGCTGAGCAGCGCGGGGCGTCGAGACTCCTGGGGCCCATCAGAACGTCTTTTGAGGTTGCCCAAGACGGCCCCGCCAACCACCTTGTGTTCATCTTTGGGGACTTGAGCAATCCTGCCTTCGCCCCTGTCCCGTTCGACCCCGTCTCGTCTGTGGCGACTAAGACCGAACTTGAACTTCGCTCTCTACCTCTTGAGTGGCGCTCTGCTCTTCAACGCGCGGTCGAGTTCGATTTGTCCACCCCCGCCCATTTCAACTCCTCCAGTAAAAGCTTCTCGTCGATTGGCAGAACGTTCACCTCGTTGCCTGGCTGCCTCCTCTCTCGCCCAAGTCGCGTCGGGAGGTCAGGTGGTGGGCCGGCCCGAAATCGTTGCGGCGGAACGCATCTCTGATCATGCTGCCGCGGCGGTGGCACTTCGAGCGCGGGCTGACTTGCCAGTCCAACAGCGCCCTGTCGATGCTGCTGATCACCAGTCTCTTTCCCCTCCCCACCGCATAGACTACTTCAAGATGGTGATGTTGGAAAGTGCTGGACGTGCAAATCCAACGGCGCCCAGGCCCCCGCTTGCTCGCTATCTCGCGGTCCGCAGCGTGGCTCGCGCGGTCCTCCGTCAGCGGCGGCTGTTCGTCTTGAAGCTCTATCGTTTTCATCTTCTCTGTCGTGAACGCGTCCGCCTCAACTATGATGCGAAGTCCGTCGCCCTCAACTCGCCATCGTCCTTCGCGCTCCTCTCCGACCCCCTTCGCTGTAAAGTTGCCCGCCGCGCGCGCGTGGACCGTCTAGTTCTCGGCAGCTCGCCGACCCTGTCAAGCTGGATTGGAGTCGCGAGCGACAGCGACGGACTCTGGGCAGCCCTCGGCGCAGCCCTGGGCGCCTTCTGGGCGCATCCCGATCGTGGAGCCTTCTGAGCGCCGCGCCCCGCTCGCTGGCATTCGCGCGCCCGATCGTGGAGTTGCGCGGACTCCCTTGCAGATCCTCGAAGCTCTGGCCGCGCGTTGGGGACCGGTGTTCGCTCCCCAACCGTGTGGTTTCGATGCTGGCGAGAGGTTTCTCGACGCGTTCCCGGCCCGACTTGATTGCTCGGATCTTCCCCCTCCCCCCTTCGCTCGCTCTCAGGCATTGGTGAGGCGACTTCAAAGCGGCGCCTCGGCCCCGGACAGGGCCCCATCCGCCGCGTGGCAGCTCGCGCCTGGAGGACTCGACATCCCGTGGGATGGCATGCGCCAGCAGCTCGACGGCCGCGGCTTGCTCCCCGGATAATGAGGTTCTGGGAGCTTCCGTTCCGAAGGGCGAGGGGGGGGGATTACTCCCTCGGTTTTTTTTTTCGCGCGCAGGCCCCTCGGGATTAGAAATTGCGACGGCAATATTATCGCGGCCATGGCGATCAAGGCGTTAACCAGTGCTCTTCCCGCCCGCTCGGAGGAGCCCCAGCGGAGCTTCACCCCCTCGAGAAATCCCGGGAACGACATCGTGGAACTGAGCGCCTTCGCCAGACAGACTAGCATGAAGCCTAGGATCAAGCTCCGTTATTCCGCCTCGGTGAGCGTTGGCTTTGGTCAGGCTGCCCCTTCTATGTGCCGGCGCTGAATGCTCCAGACTTTGGCGCGCGCAAGTTTCCCCGTCCAATTTTGGCCTTGGCGGAGCTGCTATGTTCGAATGTTGCCTGCGTCGGATGCCAATGGGGGGGATTTGCAGCGCCTGCGTTGGATTTCGAGCGGGATCATCCAGGGGCGCCCAGCCAGCGGCGCGCGTTTGTCAATGTGCGCGGGCCCTTTCGCGGTCGAGTATCAGGTTGCCGTCGAGCGTCCGCTTCGGGGAGTAGCCCGAGCCTGTGCCGACGATTTCGGTCTCGTCATCTTTCGCCCGGCCAGCTTGCAATTCGTTTGGCTCATGATTGAAGATGCGGCCGCGCATGTGCGCCTAGTCTTGAACTGCCGAACATGCAAGATTGCCCTCTTGATCGGTGCATTCTCGGAGGTTCTCGCGGGGATGCATGAAGTGAAGCTCCGCAGGTTTGTCTCCCAGTGGGCTGACTTCGCGATTGCTGAGTCCGTCCTTGATCGAAGGGTTTGGCTTGGCCCAGCGGTCTTCCCCCTACCTCCTGGGACAAGCCGTTCAACGGGTATCTTGCCAGGGCTGGGGAGCTTTCGAACGTGGGGGCCCGCCGTCGCTCGCTGCGATGCTTTGCGATTCCAAGGTGCTTTCCGTTCTGTCTCACGCGGGCCGAGTCCAGCCCCTCCCTCCAGAAACAAGAACTCGAAATCCTCACGATCCTCTTCGATCCCCCTAATGTCGCTGATATCATGGATCTTGGTGTAACTAGGGTAAACGGGGTGGGCCTCCGATGACAAGTATGCAAGTGCTTTCCCTTGCTCAACTTGTCCGTGCCAGCAGATTCACGTTTACTGATTGGGAGCAAGCTTTTCGTAACATGTATGAGGCCGCTGAAATGCAGCTTTTTGTGGCGGGGGCCGTCTTGGACATCCCGTGGCCGAGTTTCTGGAAGGCTCCCGCCTTCGCCACTCACCTGAAGGACGCAGCTGCTGGCTTTGCGAAGTATTCGAAGAGGCGAGAAGCGGGAGGCTGTGCGGTTGCCGATCTTGAAGTCTACCTCCGTTCTCATCCTCTCAAACCGGTTGAAGTTCGCCCTCCCCAGCGACTTCTTCACCACCTCTTGGCTTCCATCTTGCCTGATGCGAGACGCCTGCTCGAGTGGCTTCCGCATGCGAGAGAGACGCCATCGCTCGAATGGGCTGGGCGGCTCTACTTAAATCGTGGTGCGGGGGGTGGATCACGCCGGCCGGTTTACGAGAGGAGGGGTCGATATTATATTTCGAATGTGCCTCCCGATGCAATTTCAGGCACCAGTGGATTTGTCCCCAGTTCATTTATCTGTTTACTTGTCTCTCTGGTTCGTCCCTCGCCCGCTGCCCCATAGCTCGTCTTGGTCTTCTCCCGCCCTCTCGCGATGCTCCGTTTCTTACCGCTAATGCTTTAGATCTTCATCGCGAGCGCCGTCGGCATCCATTGCCGATCGAAATTGACACCGAGGGAACCATTCGCACGTGCGTTCGTGCGCAGGTGGCAAGGCCTACCACGCGCCAGAGAGGTGGATGATTGAGGACTCCGCCCTGGCTGCGCTCGAGGAGGAGGAGGAGGCGGAGGAGGAGGAGGAGGAGAAAAAAGAGGATGTGGACGAGGAGGAGGAGGAGGAGGAGGAGGAGGAGGAGGGGGAGGAGGAGGAGGCGGAGGAGGAGGAGCACGAGGAGGAGAAGGAGGAGGAGGAGGAGGAGCAAAAGGAAAAAGGAGGAGGGGGAGGAGGAGGAGGAGGAGGAGGAGGAGGAGGAGGAGGAGGAGGAGGAGCAGGAGGAGGAGGAGGAGGAGGAGGAGGAAAGCCTTTGAAGTCCAGCGGCTCTGGAGGAGGTGTCGGGCGCCGGGGCCTTCTCATAGCGTTTCGGAACGCTCTGGGAGCCTTCCGGTGCGCTCTAGGAACGACCTCTCTTCTTCCTAGCACCGCCCCAGCTTTGACCCAGAGCACCTTTCTCTTTCTCCTCCTCCTCCTCCTCCCCCTCCTCTCCTCTTTCTCTTTTTCCTCCTCCTCTCCTCATCATCCTCCCCCTCCTCCTCCTCCTTCTCCTCCTTCTCCTCCTCCTCTTCCTCCTCCTCCTCCTCTTCCTCTTCCCTTCTTCCTGGCACCGCCCCAGCTTTGACCCAGAGCACCGAGGCTCCAGACGAACAAGTCGCCGCGTTTTGCCTTCTCAGAGCGTTTCGGAAAGCTCTGGGAGCGTTCCGGTGCGCTCAGGAAAAGACCTATCTTCTTCCTAGTGCCGCCCCAGCTTTGACCCAGAGCACCAAGGCTCCAGACGAACAAGTCGCCGCGTTTTGCCTTCTCAGAGCGTTTCGGAACGCTCTGGGAGCGTTCCGGAGCGTTCCAGTGCGCTCTGGAAAAGACTTCTCTTCTTCCTGGCACCGCCCCAGCTTTGACCCGGAGCACCGAGGCTCCAGACGAGCAGGTCGTCGCGTTCGGCCTCCCACGGCCCTCCCCGGGCCCTGGGGCCGTCGGCTGCGGGCAAGACTGTTGCATCCATGTGCCCACCGCGTCTTCGAGTTCCGGGCTCCCTCCCGAAGAAACCAGAAACGCAGCGGACATGGACAAGACATGTGGCTCTTGCAGGCTAGCCGTTTACCCCTATCTCCAAGGCGTCTTCGGCCTCCTCGCGCTCCCGCCCAGTGAAGTCGACGACGCAGCGAGCGCGGGCATACAGTCACCCCGCACAGTAAGGACTTGCAGCTTCCCAAGGTTCCCTCCTCCCTCCTCCCTCCTCCCTCCTCCCTCCTCCCTCCTCCCCCATCCCTCCTCCCTCCAAGGCTGGGAGGGGCATCCTTGCCCCTCCAGCCCATCCCTTCGGCCCATCTCCAGCCGAAACGACAACACGGGCGTCCAAGGCCCCCTGCGTCCTCGCCGCGCACGCCTGCTCGGAGGGCTGGCGGGGAGCCCCCCTGCCCGCAGCGGCTGGTCCAGGGCGCGGGCCCCTCGGGGGCCCAGGGCCCGTTTGCGCCGGGGCCCGCCTCATTCGTATCTTGTGCCGTCTTGTTTCCTTTGGTTCCTCCTCCTCCTCCTCCTCCTCCTCCTCCTCCTCCTCCTCTGTAGGCTGCTCGTCCGACCTGCTCTATCATTTCTTAGAACAGGTCGCTGCACGGGTTCTCCTCATCCTCGTGCACTTTTGCCTGCGTGTCTGTCGTTCAGTGACGCTGCTGCTGTTGCCAGGCTTTTCCCCAATGCAGTTGAGTGCCCCCATCGGCAAAACCAACAACAACATACGCTCCGAGGAGGGCAGGCCCCGTCGCACGCCCGAGCGCGTGCCCCTGCGGCTCCGGCAGCCCCCCGGCAAGCACGCGGAGGCGGAGAGACCGGGCGGGCCGGACTTCGGCGAGGTGCGCGCGGAGCTCCGCGCGACGGTCGTCGAAGAGAATGGGAGCAGAAAACATGCCAGGGGCGCAACCCGTCGGAGCTCCGCGCGGATTTCCTGGATCCGCGCTTTGGGCCCCCTGGCGGCGCCGCCTCTGGCGCGCGGGAGGGGCGTCCAGCGCGGATCCGAGAAATCCGCGCGGCGCGCCCAACGTTTATGTTTATGTTTTTTTCCTCCTTTTGAAGAAGAGAGACTTAGGCCTTCCAGACGGGGTCCGAATAGATGTGGTCGGGAGACCGCGCCGCAGCGCCGATGCATCGGCGATGCGGCATGATGTGGAGCCCGATGTTCGCCACGCCGACGTCGCCGATGCATCGCCGATGCATCACTGATGCGTAGTCGATGCATCGGCGGTTCGGTACCATGCGCTGGCCCCACCTACGTGGACCCAATCCCGGAGGCCTTTTGAAGACGGCGTGGACATAGACAGCTGGCACTCCGTGCGGGTTTCTTGGATCGGCGTTCGGACTGCCCTGGCGGCCCCTCTCTGGCGCCGCCCCTGGCGCGGTCCGCGCGCCAGGGAGGGGGGTCCCGCGCCGTTCCAACAAAATCCGCGCGGACTTTCTGAAGTTTGTGCTTATGCAGCTTGTTGTTCCTGTATAGGTCAGGGAGCTCAGCCTGTCTCACGATATTTCCGAGGCGCTCCAGAGAGTCACGGAGCTCAAGGTGCCGAGAGAGCACCAGTCGGCGGGTCTCGACCACATGCTCGGGCAGATTGCCGAGGAGGGCAGCTGCGAGGCGCGAGCGGCTTGTTTGACCTTCGTCGTGCGGCTGTTTTCCGACGGGGTGCTGCTGAAGTCGGAGCTCGCCCCCGGTCTGCAGAAGTTCTTCGGCAGCCGGGTCCAGGACCTCACCTCCGACGTGCCGTCGCTGCCGGCCATGGTCAGGACGGAGTACATGCCGGCCGTGGAGGAGCTCGTCCAGCTGGGATGCCTGGGCCCCGAGCAGAAGGCGGCGTGCGCCGCGGCGCTCGGTGAGGCCTGACCCGCGGAGCTCACGCGGTGCCAGAAGCTCCGCCGGAGATCGGCGCGGATCTCTGGGGCTGGCGCGGGGCCCGATGCCACATCCCGTCGCTGGCATGGGAGGCGCGCCCGGGGCCAGGGGCGCCAACACAGGGGTCGACGCCATCGGGGCCCAGGGCAGCCCGAGCGCCGGATCTTGTCGGGTCCGGCAGAGCCCGGGTTGCATTGGCCCGGGGCTTGGGTGCAGGATCCTGCAGGGTCCTTGAGGATCTTGCAGGACCCTGCAAGGCCTGCCTGACCCGGATCTGTCAGGAGGGAGAATCACACGGAGGCACAGTTCATCGTCGACCCCCCAGAAAAGATGGGAAAAGATGGGCAGTGGGAGGGAAGGCAGAAGCCCAGAAGATATGGGAAGAGATGGGGAACCTTTTCTTGGGTGTCCAGATGGGGAATCTATGGGGAAGATGGGGGGAAGAACATGAAACTATGGGAAGCTATGGGGAAAGTATGGGAAGATATGGGGAGCCTTTTTTATTGGCGTGTATTTCTTTGTGTGCCCCCGGGCCCCCTCCATCCGGGCTGGCCCGTGCCAGTGGATGCCCGGAGAGGCGTGGGGCGGGGGCCCAGCGACGACCCCAGAGAGCCGCGCGGGCTGCGCGTGTCTACAGGCGGTCTGTGCAGTGCTATCGTGCAGTCGGGCCTGCCCCTCTGCAGGGGGAGTATCCAAAGATAGTCAGAACATCGTCAGGGGACTATCTGTGGGCATCTTTTGCGCATGCGTGGAGTATGCTTTCTTTTTTCCTCCAAAGCCCCCCCTGTAGGGGACAGGCCCGACCTAATGCTATCGAGGTTCCACGTCACGTCGTGGCTGCAGGGAGCCTACCTTGGTCATAGTCGGATGCAGCTCCTGGGAGGTCAACTTCCGATTTTGCCCTGGTCCGACATCTGCCTTGGTCCGGCGCATTCCTGCTTGCTCCCGCTGGATCCGGCTTCATCCGCCTAGTCCGCACGCCTAACTCGGCGTAGCAGCCCTCCCATTGTGGCTTAATCCTCCTTCACCATCCCGGCGAAGACCTCCCAGTAGTGGCCTCCCGAGCCGTATATAGATCGGGGGTGGACAGAACCCCCAACAGTGACACGTCGATTGTTGAATTGCCCGGGCTCGGTTCTCGAGAGGGCGCCGCGGCCGTTCGTTTCCTGGCTTGCGCCCGCCAGGTTTGGGCCTCAAGTCGTTTTCACTAAACCACGTTTTACTAAAGGGGGGTCTGTCCATCCCCGAACGGGGTGTCCGTCGCGCGGCGCAGACGTCGGCCGCGAGGCCCCAGCCCTCTTGCCCGGCAGCCCCTGCAGGCTCCGGCGGCCCCGCCGTGTTCTGCGGGGCGCGTCGCCACGTCTCCACGCCAGGGGCTCATCCGTGTCCAACGGTTAGGTCGGGCCTGTCCCCCTACAGAGAGGACTCTCGACGAGAAATACAAAACGCCCCAAACCTAGTCCAGAACTTGCTCCAAAGATAGCCTGGGGACTATCGAGTATGTGTTGACCTTCCTGGGGTATGTTTTGGGGTATTTTTCAGGTTTCGTCGACAATCCTCCTGTAGGGGGGCACGCCCGACATAATTCAGGAGGGAAAAAACACACAGACACAATTAATCGTCGATTCCCCAGAAAATATGGGAAAATATGGGAAGTGGGGGGGAAGACAAAAACCCAGAAAATATTGGAAAATATTGTGAATCTTTTTATTTGTGTGTATTTATTTGTGTGTCCTGGGGCCCCTTCAATAATCCAACGGTGAGGAGGCGTGCCCTCGGGAGCGTGGGGGGCGGATGCTCTCCTGGGTCTCCCGGGAGCGGAGCGCACCCGTGCCCAGACCCCCCCGCGCCGTGAAGTCACCCTGGCGACGTACCCAACCCCTGCGCAGTGCGGGGCTCGGAGGTTGATAGACCTCCTACTCTGACACGTCGATTACTCCAGATGTCGTAATAAAAGGGAGGGGGTCTGGACCCTCCAAGACGAGCCATTTCAGACCCCCCCCGTGGGAGAACCCTCCAAAACATCGTCCCCAGACCCCCCCAGGCCCTCCAAGATAGCCTGGTAGAGACCCCCCCCGAAATGAGACCCCCCTCCCTTTATTACGAAATCTGGAGTAAGGAATTGGCAGTTTTCGGTTCGCGAAGGGGCGTCGCGGCCGTCACTTTTGCGGGTCCAGGTCCGTCGGTTTCGGTCCCGGGCCGTTTTCTCTGAGGGGAGGTCTACCCAAGGGAGGTTTGTCCCCCGCCGAGGGGCAGGAGTAGCTTGGGAGATTCGGCGAGAAGGTGGCGACGTGACATGGACGCATACGCTTCTGCGAGCGGCGTTCGGAAGGTTCGCAGGACCCCAATCAAGGGGTGTCTCGCTCCGCTGGGCCCACCAGCAGCCCTCGAAAGTGGCGGCAGTTTCTCAGATCGCAGCCCCCCTGAGACGGCGAGGTCTCGCTCAGGTCTGCGCGGTGCCTGACCCCGCTGGACCCACCAGCAGCCCTCGAAAGTGGCGACAGTTTCGCATATCGCAGCCCCCCAGCGACGGCGAACAGAGGGCAGTAGGAGGGAGGAGGCGGGAGGGAGGACGCGACCGCAGTGCTCCATTCAAAACGAATGCCCAACCAAGGAGGGTTGGGAACAACTCACGACGGGAGTTTTTTCTTGTTGTTGTTGTTGTTGTTGTTGCTACTTTGGGTATCCGGGGGCCCTTACTGGGCCTCGGGGCCGTCCAGAACGACTCATGATACAAAAAACGGTCCCAGGGAAGTTGCCCAGACCTCTGGAGTTCGACATTGTGAACAATCACGACGTCGGGGGTCTGGGTATACAAGTCGCTGGACATGGAACACCCCCCCCGCGTGGAGTGACTTTCTGCAGGGCTGCCCCGCGGTCTTGCGCCCGATCGTCGTCTGCCTCTTTCTCCATCTGTGCCGTTCCCTTGTTTCAAGGGCAGTTTCCTGGCCCGAACTCATAGAATTCCGGGGTGTGGCCATCAGGTAGCGACGTGCTCCGATAGGCCTTTTCGGATCTCTCTTTCTGCCCAGGCATTTGTAATCTGTGGATTTGTCTCCTTGCCAGGAGTAGTAGATATTCACAATCAGTTCAGATGACGCGCTGGAAAAACGCGGACGCGATGCCTGGGGCCTCGACCTGAAGGAAGAGAAGGGGGGCCAGGATTTTGGAAGGAAGTGTCAGCCAAGCTCGGTCAGACCTCGCTTCCCAGCCGTTCATTCCTCGCTTGACTCGAGCATGGGCGATGCCACTCACGAGAGTACGAGCGATCCCGAGGCTCTTCCAAAGGATTATGTGGGTCGCTTTGCTTGCCTTTCCCTGTGCAGTTCGCTCCCATCCTTTGTCCGGGTCCTTTCGATTGTGCCACGCCTCGAGCTTCTACCGATTGTGCGGGTCGCTCTGCTCACCTCGCCCTAAGCTTCAGCCGACCGCTGTCGCACTGTGAGTATCGCCACGCCAGCAGCAGCGCCACCAGGACAGCGGGAGCAGCGCAGACATCAGCAGCGAACGTAGCTAACACGACGAACATCAGCACGCGCAGTAGCATCAACACCAGCAGCACAGATTAGCATCGGCAGCAACCTCAGCAGCACCAGCTGCGGCGACAGCCTCAGCCATTCATGGAGGAGAGCCAGCACCAGCATGTTCCGCAGTGGTATGGCCATCGGACACGTCGGCATTAGCAGCGCATGCGCCAGCAGCAGCAGCAGCAGCAGCGCAGGCTTTGTGTACACAAGCGAAGCATCCAGGCACTTACGAGTAAGCAGCATGCAACCCACCGTTTCTTACCAAGTGCAAGAATTCAACCAGTTGCAAATCCTACAAGACTGTGCTCGCGGGACTCCGTTGGGCTATTATTTGGAGCCACAAGCAGCATGGCGCGTGCCCGTCCAAATCCAGCAACAACGAGCCAATTGGAGCCACAACCAGCAATGGTTCCTAGCCGATAGAGGCTTTCCAAAGCCAAGGGCTCCCTGGTCGTGATTGGCTCAGGGATGGCTTTGGTATCATTCCGAGACGCTTCGGGCATACAGTGAAAGCCTTGAGTAAGGAACCCTTACTTTTCAAAAGGGGCTCGGTCGTTCCTTAGGTTTGCATGCTTTCCGCTACCTTTTTGGCGGCGAGCCCCCCCGGTGTTCCTTACGATTTTGGACGCGCGGGTTCGTTTTTTCGGTCGGGGCGGACGGTCTAAGGAACGGGGCTCCACGGGGGGGCTCGGTTCCTTGCGCTTGCTCGACGTAATGCGACGGCGGTCGCTTAAAAGCCCGGCGCCTCTCTGGGGCCCTCCCGTTTCTTGCGGGGCGCGGAGTGGAGCTCTCGCCCGTTCCGCGCGCCAGGGTAGTGGCATTAAGGTCCAGTTCCTCGCCGGAGCACTTCCCGTTCCTTACGCCGCGCGTTTCGGAGCTCACTGGCTCGACATAAAGCTACGGCGGTCGCGTCAAGGCCCAGCTCCTCTCTCGGGCCCCCCCGTTCCTTGCGGGGCGCGCGCTGGAGCTTTGCGGCGTTTCGGTGTTCAAATTTGCTGTTTGCGGCGTTTCGGTGCTCGAATTTGCTGTTTGCGGCGTTTCGGTGCTCAAATTTGCTGTTTGCGGCGTTTTGGTGTTCAAATGTGCTGTTTTGCGGCGTTTCGGTGCTCAAATTTGCTGTGTGCGGCGTTTCGGTGCTTAAATTTGCTGTTTGCGGCGTTTCGGTGCTCAAATTTGCTGTTTGCGTCGTTTCGGTGTTCAAATTTGCTGCTCGCGGCCGAAAGCGGTCAACTTCGAGCCCCTGGCGTTCCTTGCGCGATGCGAGCGGGGGCTCGCGCTCGGAACCAATCGGAAAGTGGTCAATTCAAGACCCAGGCCACCACGTGAGCCCCTGGCGTTCCTTGCGCGGTGCGATTGGGGGCCCACGCGCGGAACCGAAACGGAAAGTGGTCGCGTTAAGACACAGTTCCTAGCCCGAGCCCCTGGCGCTCCTAACGCGTCGTTCGCAGGCTGCGCTTCTGCGTGCGGTTTTGGAGCGGCGGGGGATGGGGGGGGGGCGGGCGTTGCTTGATGGTTTGGCGGAGAGGGCGGGGGTCGAATTGCAAGAGCAAATCGTAGCGGAACGCCGCTAGAAAGGGGCTCGGCAGTTCTTTTTGGCTTCATGGGCTTACTTGGAAAACAACGGGCTTCGTTCCTTATTTATGGTTCCTTAGGTCAAGACCCTCACTGTATTTCCAGCATGGTTCTGGGAGGTTCCGGGTGGCTTCGGGAGGCCCCATGAAGCCTCTCTGGGCCTCTGGGCATCTTGGGACCGTCTTGGGCGGCATGTCTCCGGGCTGCTCTCCCGAAGAAGGGTTCCCGCTTGGTCTGAGGGTTTACCGCGGCCATTGAAGTTGGTAGCGAAAAGCAAGCATGCTATGAGTTTAGGTGTTGGCGTTTTCAGGGGCCTCGTGGTCTCTTGGAAGCTTCCTAGGGCTCTGGGGGCTCCTGCGGGCGTCGTGTAGGCCGCTTGGGGTCTTCTAGGTTCTGGGGGGCTTCGGGCCTCTCTTGGTCTCTCCAGGCGCCTGGCGAAGGTGAAGGGCCGCAACCCCTTGCCTTTTAAAAACGCCCGTGTGGCCAAACGTTGGGCCGAAGTCTTGCCCAGCTATTGGAGCATCTGTTCCCCTAGCCGTTGTGGAGCCCCTTGGGGGAACACTGGGGAGAGGACGATAAAGGAGTAGGAGGAGGAGGAGGAGGAGGAGGAGGAGGAGGAGGAGGAGGAGGAGGAGGAGGAGGAGGGGGAGGAGGAGGGGGAGGAGGAAGAAGAGGAGGGCACTTTGGCACTTTCTGGGAGCCCTTGCGGGGGCTCTCAGGGGCATCTTGGGGGCCTCCTGGGTCCTCTTGCGTGTCTCCTGGGACCTCTTGGGGACCTCTTCGGGCGTCTTGGGGGCCTCTTGGGGGCCTCATGGGAGCCTCCTGGCCTTCGGAGGACGACTTTTTCCCTTCCTGGGCCATCTTGGGGGCGTCTTGGGGACCTCTTGGGCTGTCTTGGGGCCCTTTTGGGCCGTCTTGCTGGCCTCGTGGGGAGGCCATCTTGGGGGCTTGTGGGCCCGTCTTGGATCGTCGGAAGCTCGACAAGGCGAGAACTTTTCAATCACTGAAGATCTATTGGAAATCTAATTCTGGTTTCCTGGAAATCCTCTTGGAGCCTACTTGGAGTGTCTTCGGGGATTCTGGGCCGTCTGGAAGACATCTTGGTTTGTCATGGGGCCATCTTGGCCGTGTTGCAGGCTTATTGGGACCGTCTCGGAGGCCATCTTGGGTCTTCTCGGCCGTCTTGGAGCTATGCTGGCCGTCTTGGAGGCCACTCTTAGGCGTCTTGAGGGCCTCTTAGGCCATCTTTGAGCCCTCTTGGGGCCGTTGTGGGGACCTCCTGGGCCGTCATAGGATTATCTTGCCATCCTCTCGGGCGATCTTGGGGCTATCTTGGGTGTCTGTTGGGCCGTCTTGGGCCGTCGGACGGCCGAAAATGAGCACATACCCGAACCCTTCAAACACCTAAGGAAACTGATTGATTTTGGTCTCTTCTGGCCTTCCTGAATGTCTACTTGGAGGCCTCGTGGGCCGTCTAGGAGGCCTCCAGAGGGGCCTCTTGGGCCGTCTTGGGTCATCTTGGTGCAAATTTATGCAGTCTTGGATGCATCTTGGGCTGTCTTGGAAACATCTTTGGGACACCTTGGGCTCCCTTGGGGCCTTCTTGGAGGTCATCTTAGGCGTCTTCGGGGCCTTCGGGGGCTTCTTGGCGGCTTCTTTGGCCGTCTTAGGGCGTTCCTGGCTCGTCTGACGCCGTCGGAAGCCGTCTTGGGGGCCACTCTGTGCCGTCTTGGGGCCCTCTTGGGGCGTTTCAGGGCCACCTTGGAGGCCATCTTGTGCGTGTTGGAGGCCTTTTTGGCCGTCTTGGGGCCCTCTTGGGGCCGTTTTGGGGGCCTCTTGGGCCGTCCTGGGGTCATCTGGGAGGCCTGTTGGCGCGCTGGGGACGATCTAGGAGGCCTTTTGGGCCGTCTTGGGCTTTCGGAAAACCGAGAAGAAGCAATTGCCAACCTCAGCTCACACATCAAGGACGAACAATGATTTGTTTACGCGGGCCTTCTGGAGGACCTCTCGGAGGCCTCTTGGGCTGTCTTGGATGCCTCTTGGGGGCCTCTGGGGCCGCCTTGGGCTACATCGAAGCCATGTGGGACGTCTGGGGTGCATCGTTGGCCAACTCGGGTGCATCTTGAGGCCATTTTGGGCTCTCTTGGAGCCATATTGGCCGTCTTAAAACATTTCTGGAGGCATCTTGGCGACACCATCTTGGGGCAACTTGGCCATCTTGGAAGCGATTTGACCAACGAGAGATGGATCTGGAGAGCTACCCGGGTGGTCGGCGGATTGGGCCGACGCCCCAGGCGGAGTTTCAGAAAGAACCAAAGCCCACCAGACGTCTAGCACGCCAGGCACCCTCGTGATAAATCAACAGAGGGCGGCGGATGACGGAAAGCGCGCGAAGCGTCGCGATCCGTTCGTCGGGAGAAATAAGAAGGGAGGGTGGGGGGGAAGGCAGCCCGGGACCCAGATAACGGAAAGAGCGAGGTACGAGTGATGACGTTCTGGTGTGGGCGAAGCCTTAAAGGGAGGGGTTCCAGGGGAGGGGGGGAGCGTGCACAACTGCGTCTTAATGGCCGTTTTCGGGTTTTCCTTCGGGTTTTTGCATGTTAATCGGGTTCCCCCCCAAGACGGCCCAAGAGCGCTCCAAGAGAGCCCAAGACCGCCCAAGACGGCCCAAGAGGCCCCCAAGAGGCGCCCAAGGGGCGTCCCAAAAGGACCCCAAGAGGCCGAAATCATCGATTTTCCGGAGGAACACGTATATTTTTAGCATATGCGCTTTGTCGGCTTCACGGCGTTGACGACGGCCTAAGAGGCCCCCAAGACCGCCCCAAGAGGGCCAAAGAGGCTCCCAAGAGGCCCCCAAAACGGCCCAAGAGGGCCCCAAGATGGCCCAAGAGGCGCTCAAGACGGCCCAAGAGGGCCCCAAGACGGCCCCAAGAGGGGGACCACGAACCCGACAGTCTAGCCTTTCGCCCCAAGACGCTCCCAGGAGGCCCCCCGAGCTCCCCAAGAAGCCCCAAGAGGCCCCCAAGAGGCCCCCAAAAGGGCTCAAAAAGGGCCGCCATAGGACTCCCAAGAAGGCTCAGAGAAGCCAAATAAAGAGCGATCGGTAACGCAACATGCTCTTCACACCAAGGCTCCCAAGAGCGAACGGTGACGTAAACAAGCTGATAAGACCAAGGCTCCCAGCAGGGAGCGATGCCGTAACAAGTTCCTGACATGAAGGCCCAGCCAAGGCTCAGGAACGGGCGGCAACGCAACAATCTCTGAACACCAAGGCTCCCAAGAGCGCGGGGTGACGTAACAAGCTCTCAACGCCAAGGCTCCCAGTACGAACGGTGGTGTGAGTAAATTCGGTCAAGTTGTTGAAGCGCTCTTTCCGTTTCCGTGCCGGCCCAGGTAACGGAAAGAGTGAGGTACGAGTGATGACGTTCTGGTCTAATGGCCCCCATGTTTGCCTATTTCGGCCCAACACGGCCCAAGTCAGCCCCAGGAGTGTCCAAAAGACCCGCAAGACGGCCTCCGTAGCCATTTTGGCTCAAGGCTCAAGTATTTGGTTGGTAACTTTGTTGCTCTTCAGGTCAGTCAGTATATGTATTGACTGACTTAATCATGTGCCGCTCCTTCTTTCTGACTTTCGTGCTGTTCGTGGCCCAGGCGAGTGGCCTAAGAACACATCAGTCTGAGCTGGCTGTAGCCTGCATCGTCGAAGCCTGAGCCTGGACACATGTTTTTCTGCTCACAGCCAAGACCACATTGTCGAACCATGACGGTTGGAAAGGATTTTTCTGAAGCCATAAGCGCGGCGAGGATTACGAGGCATTTCTACACTGCCAAGATGCAGCAGCATGCAAGGACAAATATGCAGACTTTGCGGATGCCATCAATACAGTGAAGCAGAAGTTTTGCGAGGACCTCGTCAGCCCAATGTTAGCTCTGTTGGAGCCTGCAGTAAGCTCGCAGTATCTCTCCAGACTGGGTAGTCGAAGGCCAGACTGGCAGATTGGATTGGGCCCCAAGGGCCAATCTGGCCTGGCCAAATTGGAGGATTTGGGTTATTCGCCAGACTGGATTCGCGTTGGCTCCCTCGTCAGATTGCCCCCGTTTGCCAGATTGGGCTTGCCAGATTGGCTTCGACTACCCAGCCAGAGGGCCAGGCATTGGATCATCCCACAATGATTTGTCCATTTTTGCTTCGGAAACTACGGTGCCAGTCGAATCTTTTCAGGGAGTGCAGTCACTTCTTCTCAGCCTTCGCGGAAAGAGCTCAATGTGTATTGCACCGTGGGGAGCGAGCAAACATGGCTATGTTGACGGAGGCGTGAAAAGAGGGAACTGAACTGGGGCTACCTGTCCTCTACAAAGCCAAAGGAGTTAGGCTGCTTGAGGCCTGATGCAGCAATCGCGGCCTAATATCGGCTCACGTGCGGAACGAGCCGCCGGAGAGGTAAGAAAGGACACCATTCAGAAGTTGTTCTGTCTCAGGAACATAAAGTACAAGAGTGCAGCACTGCTCGAAGTATGCAGCCGCCCAACTGAAACACCGTAGCACATGTGAAAGCGGCAGGATTAGACCACCGCGCAAAAGAGAAAGAAGCAGGCTATATCTTTTTCTTTCCCGCGTAAGGCGGAGTCCGGCTGTCTTTTGAAACGCCGGCATCTTCACCACGGCCAAAGGACGGCTTCCCTGCCGAAGCGCCCTTCGGATCCACCCGAGATTGTGGAGTATCTGGGGTTGGCACAGATGACGCTGCAAGAGATCTCCCCGAAGTGTGTGTACTCGCGCGATCTGCTGAATCAGCTCGCGGCATGGTGCCCGACATTAGAGACGGAGCTGTGCAAGCGGTGCGCCGAGCAGACACTGTTCGTCCAGACGGCGAGGGCGACGCAGCGCCCAGACGTAGAGCAGGTACCAGAGCGGTCTCTGCAGCAGGACTTCCCCCGAGGTCTGCGCGTAGGCCCGCTGCACTTGCCGGATGTTGTATGGACTCATCGCACGGCTGAGGGCCATCAGGAAGATGAGGAGGAACCGGACCATCATGTGCCGCCTGCTCGGCAGCCCGGCGCTTATCCTTCTTACGTAAACGTTGGGCCCGGCGCGCAGCTCGAAATTCCTCCAACAATTGAACAGGATCATCGTGTGCTTCAGGCTTGCCCCGTGCATCCTGAGCGCGCTCCTTGTGCAGAGTCGCTGGCGCAGATGACCGCACAGCCGCAGACATCACAGTGCCCGCAAAAGCAGCAGCCATAGCAGCAGCAGTTCGCCTCGGCGCGTGCTCCCGGATCGCCGCCTGCACAGCCGCCGCCACAAGGGAGGGGCCATCAGCAGATATGGCGCTCATCTATGTCTAGCAAGAGGAGGCCCGGGGGGCAGCTAATCTAATGCAATCGTGTGAGCCAGCATGTTTTAACGGAGGCGTAGTCGTGAAGCACAGTCAATCGATGGTTCTCAGCCGTCACCACGCAGCCCTATCGGTGAACAGGGAAGGGCAACCGCCCAGATCTCGCTCTTGACAAAAGGGCGAAGGTTGCCTCGATGAGTTTTGGTTCTACTATCGGGTTGTTGGTCCTTTGCATTCTGGTAAGGTTTTCTCGGAGCAGAACTTCCGCGATATATCTGCGCAACAATGTTTGACAGCGTTGTCAAAAGCAGATGGCTTAGATCGCCGTTATTATACATAAATTGAATTACGTCGCAAACAAGTGAATAATGGTCAACTGGCGATTGGCCAAAAAGTGCCCAAAGCCACCGTGTTCATGGGAATGGATAAGCCTCGTATGATGCTCATACATGCGGGCAGTGTCACTGTCACTGAGAAGCGTGCCGCACTGTTCCTGATTCTTGGCGCATCAGCGTGGCGCGAACTCTGCATGATGCCCGTCGGGAAACAAAAAAGGCCCGCAAGACGGCCCCAGCCGCTCCATACCTCCGCGACGGCTTCCGGGAGTCCCAAGAGGACTCGAAGACGGCCCAAGGCCGCTCCAAGAAGGCTAAAGATGGTCTCAGGACGGCCAAGGAGGCCCCCAAGACGCTCCAAGAGGCCCCCCAGAGGAGCTCCAAGAAGGCAAAGCAAAAATCGTCCCATTCCCTGAGGAAGCGTACATTTCAACATATTCGCTTCTTCGGTCTCCGCAGCGCCCAGGACGGCCCAACAGGCCCCGAAAACCGCCCGAAGACAGCCCAAAAGGGCCCCAAGACTGCCGAAGTGGATTCCAAGACGGTCCCAGAAACCCCAAGACGGCCCAAGAGAGGCCCCTGAGGGTACCAAAAGGTTCCCAAGAGAACCCTACGAGGGCCACAGGAGGTCCCCAAAAGAATCCCAGAGGGCCCCGAGAGGGCGGCCTGCGAGACGCGCCGGGAAAGCCCCCGCGGTCAGCGCCACCGCGGCCGCGTCGGTCGCAGCAGACATGGTGGCCGCTCTCCGCGCGAGCTTGTGCGCGGTAGCGTGGCCGCGGCGATGCGCCAGCCAGCGCCAAACAGTCGTCGCAATCGCTGCCGCATGGGTTTTGCAAACCAACTTGCGGGTGGATGGGTGGGATGGTTGCGCGAGCAGTGGCGTGGATAACCTCAAGTTCGGGAGGGTAAGCTGCACGGCGTAGATTGCGCCACGTAGATTCTCCTTTCCAGAAAGAGAATAGACTCTACCCCCCCACCGGCGTTATCGGTCCCCCTTTCGGGTATGTAAATCATATATGATTCTGACCACAGGTACATCCTAAATCTGAATTTGCACTATCCCCGGGGGGCCGGTATCGACCCCCCTGAGGTTCCCTTGTTACCAAAAAACGATACGCGGGGACACCTTCTGTTCTATCATGACATTTTTTCACGAGCCCTTTGCAAAACATGGGGCGAAGTGCGCACGCGCGCGCCGTCGCGCGTGCATGCCGAAATCCTCCATCAATCTCGGTGTCGGAAGGATTTCGCAATGGATTTTCCAAAAACATGCACAAGCACAGGGTTTCGCAACATTGATTTGCTAAAACAGCTTACGCGCGAGCTTTTGCGAAATCTTAAGAAAACCAGATTTTTTTCAATCTTTTCACAACGTGCTACCAAACGGGTTTCGCGCGCGCATGTCGAAATCTGTCGAACGCCCTTGCGCGTGTGCCGTCGCGAGAATCTTCTGCAACAAATGGGACGAAGTGCAGACGCGCGCGTCGTCGCGCGCGTATGCCGAAATCCTTCAAAACACATCGGCTTCGGAAGGATTTCGACATCGTGTGCCCGAAAAACCTACAAACACACAAGGTTTCGCAACACAGGTGTTCAACAAAAGCGTGCGCGTTCTTGCGTCGTCGTCGTCGTCGTCGTCGTCGTCGCCGTCCTCCTTTCTGTCGTCGTAGTTGTCATCGTATTTGTCGTCGTCGGCGTCGGCGTCGTCGTCGTCGTCGGTGTCGTCGTCGTCGTCGTCGTCGTCGTCGTCGTCGTCGTTGTCGGCGTCGTCGAAGTCGTTGGAGACGTCGTCGGTGTCGTCGTAGTCGTTGTCGGCGGCGTCGTCGTCGTCGTTGTCGCTGTCGTCGTCGGCGTCGCTGTCGTTGCCAAGTGCCATTTGGTACCCACAGTCACGGTCTTCAGAGATTTTGCAAACCAAGTTGCGGGTGGGTGGGTGGGATGTTTGCGCGAGCAGTGGAGTGGGCAACTCTTTGCGAGCAGAAATTAGTTGCACCACATAGATGTACCACATAGTTTGCAGATCATAGGCTGCACCACGTAGACTGCACGACATAGATAGTTGGAAGCACGCTGTTTGGGGTCCACGGATCACGGGATCGCGCTTCATCGGCGCAGCCCTGCCGGCTTGCGAAGAGCGACGGCGACGTTTGGGGGCGCCGCGGAGCTCACCCTCTTGGATCCACACTCGTGCGGTACAGCTGTGCCCATGGGCGCGGTCTCAATCCACGCCAGGGCCGCAGGGCGTGGCGGGCGCGCTGCGACGCCGGAATGGGCGCGCAGGGACTCGCCCTTGAGCGAGACGCGCCAGGGTGGTCGCGGGGACGAGTCGCCCCAGCAATCAGATTTGCATCGACTTTCGTCACTCGTTTAGGTGCCCTACACCGGCGGGATCAACCATCTTTCCAACCCTGCAAAACCCAGGGTGCAATTGTGTCCCGTGTATCGTTTTCCGTGCCCTTTTCATGTCTGGGGCGCGGGTTGCTCCCGGAAGAGGCTTGTGTCCTCTCGGGCGTGCTCTGCTCAGCGCTGGCTCTTCTCGCTGGACTGTCCTTGTCGATCGTTCTTGATGCATCATTGGCCGCCTTGTGCGAGGGGCTTGCCGCCAGATCGCGGCCAGGCTGGCCAGACTCCGCCCATGCACTTCGCGCGGCTGGGGGGCGAAGCGTGCCGGGCCTCAGAGCAAGGCGGCAGCGGCAGCGTGTGCAGCCGCCGGGTCCAGCACGCGTGACGCAGCGCGCTCCCGCGTACCACTTCTGGTTCAGCCCGTCGGGATGTCAAGAGGCTTGGAGAGCCAACGCGCTGCCAGGCAGCCGCGGACCCTGGGCACTCTTCTTGCCGGCGGCCACCTGGATGCTGGCAGCGGCAGGGCAACGGTGGGGCGCAACGAAGCTGATTAAGGCACAAACGGGAGGAGGGAGGACCACGAGGACGGGGGGGGGGAAGCTGCGCGTGCAGAGAGACCCTCAGAACGCAGAGCACTTCGGTATGGGCCGGAGCAGAGCAAGCAGTGCAGGACCTGCAGCCGTAAGACTCCATCCGGGTACGCTGGGGTGTGCACAGCAGAGCGGGCACAATATGACAGATCCGATTGGGGCCAAGGGGGACAAACAGCACTGACAATATGCCAAGCATGTACAGGCGTCCAGGGAACGTCAAGCTGCCTCACGTCTCCAGGACAGGCCACGGGGTGGCGCGGCGCAAGACGCGGAGCATGGCGGTGAAGACGGCACAGAATGAGCGTGGCCGCGGACCCTGGATACCTTTCGTCGTTAATGGGGACGGTCAGCGCCAAAAGGTTGTCGCGGCTCGTGAGGGCGCGCCGCCTTAGGGTGTTGTGCGCCAGTACGATGGCGTTCCTGAGGCTGTAGCGTCAGCGTCCGCGAAGTGCTGCGGCAACAGACACGGCCCCTGGTCTATACAGTCGCCCAAGAAGAAGGCTGCAATTCCGCCAGCGTTCGCCAGTTCGTGAATTGGCAGGCTGCTGTTCCGCTGGGTCTTACAGTTACCGCCTATCTCGACGCAAGTGGCGACTTGCGCGGGCCTGGGATGCGGGTCGCTAAGTGCGCAAGGCGACTTCCAGTCCGGCTGACGATGGAGCATGCGGGAACAATGGCGGGCTTCGCGTGGGACGCTCTCGTGCAGGTGGCACGGGAGGGGCTCCCTCCAGAGTGACCGCAGGAGCTGGGGGATGATGGGGAAGCGGTGTTGTTCTAGTGACTCGCTGGGCTCACCAGAGGTGGTGCCGCGGCCCGCGGCGGGGAAGGTGGGAGTCAGAGAAGGAAAAGGTACCCCTAGCGCAACCCTCCGCCCGCTTTTCCCCTTTTTGGGGCCTCCTCGGAGGCCCCCGTCGCCACCGTGGGATTCTCCTCGAGAGTTCTGGTCAGAGGAGGAAAAGGAGAAGGACGAGGAGGAGGAGGAGACATGAGGAGACATGAGGAGGAGGATGATGATGAGGAGGAGGAGGAGGAGACAGGAGGAGACAGGAGGAGACAGGAGGAGGAGGAAAGGAGGAGGAGGAGGAGGAGGAGGAGAGGGAGGAGGAGAAGGAAGAGGAAGAGGAGGAGGAGGAGGAGGAGGAGGAGGAGGAGGAGGAGGAGACAGGAGGAGGAGGAGGAGGAGGAGGAGGAGGAGGAGGAGGAGGAGGAGGAGGAGGAGGAGGAGGAGGAGGAGGAGGAGACAGGAGGAGGAGGCGGGTCGGAACGTACCCCGTGACAGGTCCGGGAGCAGCGGCATCGGTACCCTTCGGCCTCCCCCCAGGGGGGCCGGGGCCGAGCCCGCCGCGCGGGCGGCCTGCGTCCGTCCTTCGCCCGCGGCCCGCGAGCGGGGCCGCGGCCCGCGGGGACAGCTCCGGCAGACCGGCCACAGCGGCGGGGGGGCCCGAATCATCAGAGCGTGAATAGACGGCGCGGAGGAGATTTCGACCCCCCGCCCTTTCCCTACCCGCCCCTGTCGCCTGACCCGAGGAGGAAGAGGAGGAGGGGGAGGAGGAGGAGGAGGAGGAGGAGGAGGAGGAGGAGGAGGAGGAGGAGGAGGAGGAGGCCGACCCCGCGGGCCAGAGCGTGAATCAGAGCCCCGAATCATCAGGGATAACTCGGGTCAGGGCCAACTCGGGTTCCTTTTTTGCGGGAGTCCGAGCCCGAGTTATCCCGGACCCGAGTTACCCTGGATATTTCGGGCGTCCAGAGCCCCGAATCATCAGGGGTAACTCGGGTCAGGGCTAACTCGGGTTCGTTTTTTCGGGAACCCAAACCCGAGTTACCCCGGACCCGAGTTACCCCGGATAACTCGGGCGTCCAAGTGAATGACCTACCCCGCTATCGCCTCCAGGCAAAACCAAGTCATACCACGCTCCTCCTCGTCAAGCGGCCTGACCAGTACAGGCCGTAATTTGGCATCGCTTGGTATCTCATGGAAGCGAGGGTGGTCAAAAGCGAGGTAGGTTTGTTTGCCCCCTAGACACGCGTGCCGAGAGTCGAGGACGGCCAAGACGGGGGTGATGACCAGGGGGCTTACAGCGGGGGCACGCCTCAAGAAGCCAGGGGTGCTTTTCGTCAGGGTGTCCCAAGTCTCTTCGCTCCTCGCGCTGCGCGGTGACCTCCCGAAGCAGTGGAGGGAGCTGCTGCGTTCAGGGTGCTCCAGTTTTCCACTCAGGTGCACCTCGCGCAGGGGTTCTCAGGGTTGGGTTTCTCGTCATGGTTTCTTGCGGCCGCGCCCGCACTAGTTGCCTCGATGCGCCCGTTTTGAAACGCAACACGTCCCGTGTTCAAGACGTCCGTGTCAATAGCGTTGCGTGTTGGCTCCTCGTATTGGGCCACGTTTTGGCGAAGGTCTCGCGTCGGACCTACGTTTTCAGCCTACGTGTTGAGCTCCGTATCAATACGACACGTGTTGCGTGTTGCGTATCGGGGCAGCTAAGCTAGGGGGGGTGGATCTCATGGCGGGGGCCATGATATTTCCTCGGATTTCATGGCGCCTCTTCTTGCTTCATGACGTCTCTGAGCCCCCATCTGGGCCGCGCGCATGCCGCCGGCCATGATTTGCGCCCCGTTCCCCCTCTTGGACGCCCCCCTCTTGGCCGCCCCCGAGAGAGGGTCGATCTGATTCGAAGGAGAACAGCGCCATAAACACAAAGGCTCGGCGCTCCGCGCGGATTTCTTGGATCCGCGCTGGGCCCCCCCGGCGGCGCCTCCGGCGCCGCCCCTGTCGCGCTCCGCGCGCCGGGGAGGGGGGTCCAGCGCGGAGCCAAGAAATCCGCGCGGAGCTCCGAGTTCTCATGTTTACGGCATTTTTCGTTCCCATAGTGTGGACCCGGCGGCCCCCGACGTCGATATGATGGGCTCCCCCAGTTGCGGCTGGTCGTTGTTGGTATTCTCTCTTTCAGGAAGACAATGTTCCCGGACTGGGGTCAGGTCGGGCGTATCCCCCTACAGGCGGATTTTGGACGAAAAATTAAAAATAGTTAGGACATGCACCAAACGTGATTTAAAATACTCAGAGAATAGTCCCCCGACAATTGTTGGACTATTTTTGCATATTCCCCCTGTAGAGGGACAGGCCCGACTCAAGACTAGGGGGATGGTGTTGGGAGAAATGGGAATTTCCTTTCCGGCGACGGGTCTAGGTCTCCTAGGTGGAGTCGGCGTAGATGGGGTCGGAGGATCGTGCCGCATCGCCGATGCATCGGCGATGCATCGGCGATGCGGCTCGATGTGGGGCCCAAATTTCTCCACGCCGACGTCGCCGATGCATCGCCGACGTCGCCAGAGCATCGCCGATGTTATCGGCGATGCGGCGAGATCCTCCGACCCCATCTACTCCATCTTAGCGGCTTCTAGCCGAAGGTATCGTTCATTGCATCCGGATGCTATTGCTCATGCCCTTCATCCTTCCAACCTTTTCCTCCCAACACGATATTTGTTCTTCTCGCTCTTCCGTGGCTCCTCAGGACCTCTGGATCCCCGGGACACTCGCATGTTCTGAAAAGGTTCGACTTGTGGGATCTCCCCCAAGCCACCCTCCCCATCCCCGGCACGTTTCAGTGCCCCCCCCAAATCCTGACCACCTGGGGCCCCATGAGGTCCCTGGAGTCCTCTGGAGTTCAGGAGGCCTTCAGAGACCCGCAAAGCCCCAAAACATCACAACCCCTCGATCCTCGATCGTGCGACTCGGCTGGAGTCTGGCGTCCCCCTCCTCCGCTCCCGTCCGCCCCTTCCTCCCTCTAGTCGCTGCTCCTGGTTGTGCCAGGTGTAGCCCCGTTGCTATACAGGGTGGGGGCTGAGCGGCGAGACCAGGGAATCCACTGAATCGCCCTCCTCCCTCTCCTTCCTCTTCCTCCTCCCCTCCTTCATCCTCCTCCTCCCCCCTCCCCGTCCATGGTACTCCTCCTCCTCCCTCCCCCCTCCCCAAACTCTTCCTCCTCTTCATCATCATCCATCCTCCTTCCTCATCCTCCTCCTCCCCTCCCTCCTGCCCCTCCTCGTCCCTCCCCCTCGCCTCGGAGGCAACCGCCTCGCGGGGTGGGCTCGCCGCGGGCTGCTTGTGGCGCTGACGGCGGAGACCCAGGGAGGGCGCCAACTGTCCGCCTGCACCGGTCGTTGCCAGGCACGTCCTAGTCGAGCTGCAGGCCCAGACGTAAGTCGGGCCTGTCCCTCTACATGGGGAAAATTCACAAGTAGTCAAAAATAGTCGGGGGACGAATTTCTGATATTTCCGAGCATTTTTGGCGTTTTTTGCCACAGTCTTTGGACCAGGACTGAACCTAGCCAGGATCGGTTCAGAAGTACAGTTGGCGCTGTCGCAGGAGATGGTGGACCGCCATCGCAGTCCCAAGGCGCGCCCGCCGGTGTGGGCGGCTCACCACGTCGCTCGTCGTCCTCGTCGTCGTCGTTGTCGCTGTCGTCGTTGTCAACGTCGTTGTGCCCCTCCTCCTGGTCTTCTCGTCGTGCTCCTCCCTCCTCCTCGCCATCCTGTTTTCCTCCCCATCTTGGGGAGGAGGGACGATAATGATACTGTACTAGTAGCTCCTCGCAGTGTTTCGGTATGGCAACAGAAGTCACATGTCGAAAGCGCCTTCGGCGAATCACCGACGCCTGCGTGGTGACATGTCTGGCGAAGGGACGGCCATGCTGGAGATTTGGGTGTTCCTCCAGCTCTTGGGGCCACCACTGGGGAAATACTGGGTGGGGCCCGCTGTTGTCATCTGGTTGGTTGCTCTCTTGGGTGTTCTGCTTGGGTCGTCTGGGGCCGGCCGTCTTCGAGGCCTATGGCGGCTTTCGTGGGCCTGCGTAGGGTGACAGCGGGCTGTGTGTCGCCTTCGGGGGAGCGTCTGGGTGGCCTATCTGGTCCGCCTTGGGGACCTCTTGGGGCTCTTGAGTGGCCGTGTTTGGCCTCGCTCGTGCCGTCTTGGGCTGTCATGGGGCGCCCTATCACGGGCGTCTGGGGCCGCCCTCGGGCTGTCTTTTTGGACCTCCTGGGCCGACTTCAGCTCTCGAGCGCCCGACGAGGCGATCACCCGGCCACTGCATAACACATCGTGAACAACAGCGCGGCGAAGTTGGCCTCCCGTGGGGCTCCCGGAGCTCCTCGTGGAGCCACTTTTGGACGTCTTGTGGGCCTCTTGGGCCGTCTGGATGCTATCTTGGGCCGTCCTTGGAACCGTCCTGGGCCGTCTGGGGCCATCTTGGAGTCATCTGAGACTGAGACCCCCTTGGGGTCCTGTTCGGCGCCGTCTCGGAAGCTGCTTTGAGGCCTTCTTGGATGCTTCAACACGGCCCAAGAGGCTCCACCTTGACAGTCTCGGGCCGTCTTGGGGCTCTCTTGGGGGCTTCTTGGGCCGTCTTGGGGCGATATTGAAGCCTCCTTGTGTCGTCGTGGGCTGCCAGAAGCCTGAACAAGGCGAGAACACGACCACACATGAACGCACACAATAAACATCAACGAGATTGGCTTCCTGAGGACCTCCTGGAGCTCCTCTTGGAGCAACATGGAGCACCTTGGGGGCGCCTGGATAGTCTTAGGGCCATCTTCGGCCGCCTTGGGTCAATCAGAGACCATCCTGGAGGCATCTTGTGACCGTCGTGGGTTCTCCCAGGGCCATCTTGGCCGCCTCAGGGGCGTCGTTGGACCGTCTTAGGGAGGGCCTGGGGCACGTTGACAATCTGGGAGGCGACTTCTCTTGACTTCGATGGCTTCCCGTGGCTTCGTTTTGTTGTTCTCCAGGTGGCCAGCGGCATCAGCCGATAGTCCAGTAGGAGCCCTCTGGAAGGGCCAAGTGTGCATCCACGCATGTAGCACGCCGTCACCTCTCCGCAGGCTGCGGCGGCGGAGGGAGGGAGGGAGGAGGGGGAAGCTGGAGGAGGGGGGGGAGGAAGAGTGCGTCGGAGTGAGAAGGAGGAGGGGAGGAGGAGGAGGAGGAGGATGAGGAGGAGGGGAGAGGAGGAGGAGGAGGTGCTTGCTTGGCTGGAGCGGCAGCGCCCGCCCTGCCCCGTATGCCCCTTGCCACGGGCGCCGTGGCAATCCCTCCTCCCCCTCCCTCCTCCTCCTCCTCCTCCTCCTCCTCCTCCTCCTCCTCCTCCTCCTCCTCCCCCTCCTCCTCCTCCTCCTCCTCCTCCTCCTCCTCCCGAAGGTTCCCTGGCCCCTCGAGGTCGCCTCCTCCTCCCTCGAGGCCTGCTCTCGCGGCGCGTCCCTCGTGCACGCGGAGGTTGGTCGGGGCAGGAGGGCACAGCCCTCCGCGCGTCGACTCTTGGGGGTGCGGCTGCGCTGTTCCCTCGCGTTTGCCCCGCGTGCTGCTCCTTGACCTCCCCGTCTCCAGCTCGTCCACCCTGCCTCTCACCACCCACCAAGCCACCCCAACCCAACCCGAGGGCCTCGCTTTGCCCTCCATGTCCAGTGTGTGGGGGGGGGGTCGGGGAACACCGACAAAAAACACATATGGAGACCGTACCCCCCCCCCACCCGAAGTTGGGGTCGTCGGGTTGGGTTGGGGTGGTCTGGTGGGCAGTCGTCCTCTAACGCTCACCGTATCTCGAGCGTGCTTCCTGGAGTCCTTTTTTACGCGCTCCTGCTGTCGGCGACCGTATGTCCTCGGCCTCCTCTTCTCCCTCCTCCTCCTCCTCCTCCTCGTCCTCGTCCTCGTCCTCGTCCTCGCCCTCGCCTCGCCTCCTTCGAGGCACTGCTGGCTACGTCCGTCGCCGCTGCCGTGATGCTCGTGGCGCCACGCCTGCTGATGGAGGTCCAGGCCTCGGCGGCAGACACTGCAGCAGCGCGGCACGGCGGGTAGCGGCGGCAGAGGTCGGGGGCGGAAAAGAGGGGGGTGATGACTAGGGGGGGTTGATCTCATGGTGGGGGCCATGATATTTCCCCAGATCTCGTGGCGCCTCTTCTTATTTCATTACGTCCCTGGCCTCCCCGCTGGGCCGCGCACATGCCGCCGGTCATGATTTGCACCCCCCTCTCTTGGACACCCCCCTCTTGGCCGCTCCCGAAGAGGGGGGAAAGGGGGGAAGATGATAATGCTTTGGTGCGGCGGGCGGTCAGGAGCTTCTTCCAGGCGCCTAACGGTTAGGCGGACATTGCCCACCGCCTGTCATTGGCACGACGCCGATGCCGTCAAGTGAAGCATCGTTTTTGCTGGAGCGTCGCAACAAGGTAAGCCTCATCATTCGCATGCAGGCGTCTCCGTCACAGGAAACCACAGGTGCTCCCTTAATTCTATTCCCAAGCGCACCTCGCAACCTCCCAAAACACATAGCAGGATTGTTGTACCACACTGGTGCCCGGGGCGGAGGGATCGAGGATCCAGACTTGGAGGACTACATTTTGAGCGTTTTCGGGGACGTCGGAAGACCTCAAGGTACCTCTGGAGACAACGGGGTGTCCCTCGAAAGGTTAATGCTCAACTTGGCGAAGAGCACGTGCAGGCAGGACGGATCAAAGCACAACACACACGCTGAAGGGTCTTCAGAGAACCCCGGCAGGCTCGCCAGTCACGGCCAGACCGCGTATAAAGTCTCGTATGAAACGTATGCACCACACACGCACACACACACGCACAGACACACACACACCACACACCACACACCACACCACACACCACACACACACACACCACACACCACACACCACACACCACACATCACACACCACACACCACACACCACACACCACACACCACACACCACACACCGCACACCACACAACGCACAACGCACAACGCACAACACACAACACACACCACCCAACACCCAACACCCAACACACAACACACAACACACAACACACAACACAGCACACAGTACGCAGCACACACCACACACCACACGACATGCAACACACAACACACAAAATTCAACACACGATACACACCACGCAACACACACCACACAACACATAACACAAACACACACCACACAACACACAACACACAACACACAACACACAGCACACAAACACACAACACACAACACACAACACACAACGCAAACACAACACACATTCAGCGCACAACATACAACACACAGCGCATGCACACACGCAGGCACGCCCACGCACGCGCTTGCACGCGCACGCACGCACGCATGCACTCACGCACACAAGCACACGCATACATACACACACAAACGTCAACGCGCGTGTGCTGTAAAGTGTTGTGTTATGTTGTGATGTGCTGTGCTGTGATGTGCTATGCTGTGCTGTGTTGTGCTGTGCTGGCTACGCGCGCACGCACACGCGCGGCTTTGCTGTCCCTACGTTGTGTGCGCGGCCGCTCGCGGTGGAGACGTAGCCGCTTCCATCTTGTATCGACGTGGTTTCTTCTCCGGGTAAGGTAATGGCATGCGTTGTCACGGCCCTCTCTGCCCTGGCGCTGCCCCGAGCCATTGTGGCGTGGTTTGAGGCTCCTGTGGGATGGCGATGATGTTGTGTCGGACCTCCCGGGACTTCGCCGTCTTTCAGGTTGCTCGGAGGCGGTCGCCCGTTGCTTGTGCCGGGCTGGATGCTCGCGTCTGGCTTCTCGTTCTGTCTCCCCGTCGGCCGACTCCATGGTCTCTGGATGGTGGGCTTGCTTGTGTGCAGGCTGCTCGCCAGGATCCCCGTATATTCCGAGCTGGGAGGACGCGCGGCTGCTTCTGCTGGTTTCCAGCTGCGCCGGGGGGCGGCTTCGCTCGCCAGGCACGTTGTGGTCCTGCCCGCCATGCCGGCGGAGCGGGTCCTCAGTCGATGGGACCGTCCTGAACCTCACCTCTCCTCCATCCGTCCTCCCTCCCTCCTCCCGTCCTCCTCCTTCTCCTCCTGCGCCCCCCTCGTTCCCCCTGTCCCTCCCTCCATCCCCCCCCCCCCTTCCTCCCTCCCCCTCCTGTCCCCCCTCCCCCTCCTCCCTCGTCCTTCCCGCCTCCCCCTCCTCCCGCCCCGTGCCCGCCCCCCATGCTGGCCCAACGGTGCGCGCGCACGCTCGCCTGCCCGTGCCTCCCACATGCTCGGGCGAGCCCTCGTGTGGTGTCACGCGGAGGGGTGCCACGTCATCGCGCCACCCGGAGAACGGGCTGGCACACCTTCCGCGCCGCGGCGGGCAGCACACCGCGGCAGCAAGCACGCCTGCCTGCCTGGCCGAGTCGTGGGAGCTGGTTCGTTCACGTGCGTTCAGACGCATGATGGCTATGGCCGGGAGTGTCCAGTTCCAGAAAGGGGCCTGTCCTGGTGGCGTGGAGTTCTAGTCGGGGGCGGAAGAGAGGGGGGTGATGACTAGGGGGGGGGGTGGATATCATGGCGTGGGCCATGATATTTCCCCGGATTTCATGGCGCCTCTTCTTATTTCATTACGTCCCTGGCTCCCCCGCTGTGATTTGCACCCCCCCCTCTTGGACCCCCCCTCTTGGCCGCTCCCGATCGAGAGGGTTGCGGGTCGGTGCGGGGTTGTGTGCTTGGTCGGCATGGTTGGGTGGCCGCACAGTAGACCTTGCCCAACCCGCAAACCTCCCCCTCGGCCACCGTGACGGGCATGTATCGCTCGGAGGGCGGCCAAGGCGGGCAACGAACGAACGAACGCACACACACGCACACACACGAACACACAAGCACACGCACGCACACACAGACACAGACACACAGACACACAGGCACACAGACACAGGCACACAGGCACACAGGCACACAGACACACAGAAAGACAGACACACACAGACACACACAGACACACACACAGAGAGACACAGAGACACACAAACACACAGATACACAGACACACAGGCACACAGACACACACACAGACACACACACAGACACACACAGACATACACACAGACACACAGACACACAATCACAAACAGACACAGACACACAGACGCACACAGACACACACATACACACAGACACACACAGACACACACAGACACATTCACACACATAACGACACAGACACACAGGCGCATAGGCACACACAGAGACACACAGACACACAGACACACAGACACACAGACACGCGGACACACACAGACATGCAGACACACAGACACACAGGCACACAGGCACACAGACACACACACACACACACGTACGCACAGACACGGACACACACACACACAGACACAGACACACAGACACAGCCACAGACAGGCACAGACACAGACACAGACACTGACACAGACACACATAAGCACACACACACATACGCGCACACATACAAACACACACACAGTACACACAACACACACACACAACACACACACACACACACGCACATCACACACACGCACACGCACACACACACACGCAAGCGCGCGCATCGTTTCGCCGTGGAGGGGTCGGGGGGGCATAGGTGGAGGTGGAGCTGCCTGAGAGGCAGGAAGCGAGCGAGCGGTGCAGCGGAAGTTGCGCGGGGCCGCCCTGCGGACACAACCGCCGGGGCCACAGGCCGAGCTCCTCGGGGGGGGGGGGGGCAGGAAGCGCGCGCGAGGGGTTTGTTGGCCGAGGTGGGCGCGCGAGCGCCAGGTAGGACACTTGGCATCGCTCGGGCGTGTGCAGTTTTCCTCCGGCGAGGATCCTCGGGGAGCATCCTTGATCACTGGGCGACAAAACCACGCACGAAACCCGCAAAAAAAACACAGGGAATGGACGTCCGAGCGATGGCGAGGCGACACACCCGCTGGGACCACGGGTGGAGCCCCCGGCGGAACGGGAGCCGCGCGAGGGGTGTCCCGACACGGGCGCGGGGCCGCCACGTGGGCACCCCTTTAGGAGGGTCATGGGTCCAGTCCCCGCGGGGCAGGGCAGGAAGGAGAGGCGCGACGAAGTGAGCGCGTCGGGACGCGCGACGAAGTGAGCGCGTCGGGACGCCAGGCGTGCACACCCGCTGGGGCCATAGGTGGAGCTCCGCGCTCCCTGGAGGGCAGGAAGCGCGCGAGGCGCGCGCCGAAATGGGCTCGGGGACGCCATGTGGACGCACCCGCCGGGGCCATCTGTGGAGCTCCCAGGGTGGCAGGAAGCGTGTGAGCGGGGGCGGCACTGCGGAGGAATAGGATGAATAGGAGGTGGGAGGACGAGGAGGGGGAGGCGGCAGAAGAGGCGAAGGAGGAGGAATGGAGAGAGGAGAAGCATGAGGGGGAGGGGTGAGGATGGAAGAAGGCGACGCGCGGCGCTGCGGATCCAAAACGAGAAACGAGTGGGTTGGGACACGCTGGGGCGCACGAGTTAGGTTGGGCCAGTATGGCAAGCGCGACAAGGGCCCTCTTGGCAAAACATCTCCAGGAACTCTACGGGACAATCCCCAAACTGAGTTTGGCCATTTTCAGAATCTCCCGAACATTTCGTCTCAAAAGAGCTCAAGGGAAATCTCCAGCAAATCTCCAGGCTCAACAAATCCCCAGAGAATTCGAATGAACATCTCCGGGAAATTCCGGGAGCATCTCCAGGAACATGTTCAAACAATCTCAAACAAAATATTCAGCACATCTCAGAACAGTCTCCGGCGAGATGTGTTGGATCTGTTGTTGCACTTTGTTGTATGGATTTTCTGGAAATTCGTAAGA